TACAACACCGGTAAGGTCCCTCAGTCAAGTATTGAATTTCAAGCACAGATTCAACTACAAAGACCAGGGAGCTTTTCGAATGCCTCATAAAGGAGGGCAGTGATTGGTAGATGGGTACCAATAACAAAGCAGACATTGAATATCTCTTTAAGCATGGTCAAGTTAATAATTATGCTGTGGATTATACACTCACCGGACAGTTTATTAGGTACACCCATCTAGTACCGGGTCGGACTCCCCCCTTGCCTCCAGAACAACCGGAATTCTTTGGGGTATTCTACAGGGTTCAGAAACACTCCGATACGCGATAGCATCACGCAACAAGACACTAAAGTAATATAAATAAATGCAGAATGGAAAAGGAAAACGCTTCTTGACCTAAATGCAAATCCTTACAGGCTGCTGAACAGCTTCTATCCCCAAGCCGTAAGACTGCTAAATAACTAACAGCATGTACTATCGGAGTTTACCCTTTATTACTGTCTCTATGCACACTGATAGGGCCCTACACACTACACACACTGATACTAACACACACACACACTCATTCCATATCTGCTCACACACACATATTTATACTGACTGTACACACACACTCATATACAAATCATCATATACGCTGCTGCTACTCTGTTTAACATATATCCTGATGCCTAGTCACCTGACCCCTATACATATCTACCTCCATCACTCCAGTATCCCTGCACATTGTTAATATGGTACTGGAACTGACCCTGTATATAGTCACCTGATCCCTATACATATCTACCTCCATCACTCCAGTATCCCTGGACATTGTTAATATGGAACTGACCCTGTATATAGCTACTGACCCTGGAACTGTCCCTGTATATAGCTACTGACCCTGGAACTGACCCTGTATATAGCTACTGACCCTGGAACTGACCCTGTATATAGCTACTGACCCTGGAACTGTCCCTGTATATAGCTACTGACCCTGGAACTGTCCCTGTATATAGCTACTGACCCTGGAACTGTCCCTGTATATAGCTACTGACCCTGGAACTGTATATAGCTACTGACCCTGGAACTGTCCCTGTATGTAGCTACTGACCCTGGAACTGACCCTGTATATAGCTACTGACCCTGGAACAGTCCCTGTATGTAGCTACTGACCCTGGAACTGACCCTGTATATAGCTACTGACCCTGGAACTGTCCCTGTATATAGCTACTGACCCTGGAACTGTATATAGCTACTGACCCTGGAACAGTCCCTGTATGTAGCTACTGACCCTGGAACTGACCCTGTATATAGCTACTGACCCTGGAACAGTCCCTGTATGTAGCTACTGACCCTGGAACTGACCCTGTATATAGCTACTGACCCTGGAACTGACCCTGTATATAGCTACTGACCCTGTATATAGCTACTGACCCTGGAACTGTCCCTGTATATAGCTACTCACCCTGGAACTGTATATAGCTACTGACCCTGGAACAGTCCCTGTATGTAGCTACTGACCCTGGAACTGACCCTGTATATAGCTACTGACCTGGAACAGTCCCTGTATGTAGCTACTGACCCTGGAACTGACCCTGTATATAGCTACTGACCCTGGAACTGTCCCTGTATATAGCTACTGACCCTGGAACTGTCCCTGTATATAGCTACTGACCCTGGAACTGACCCTTGTATATAGCTACTGACCCTGGAACTGTCCCTGTATATAGCTACTGACCCTGGAACTGACCCTGTATATAGCTACTGACCCTGGAACTGACCCTGGAACTGACCCTGGGACTGACCCTGTATATAGCTACTGACCCTGGAACTGACCCTGTTATATGCTACTGACCTGGAACTGACCCTGTATATAGCTACTGACCCTGGAACTGTCCCTGTATGTAGCTACTGACCCTGGAACTGTCCCTGTATATAGCTACTGACCCTGTATGTAGCTACTGACCCTGGAACTGACCCTGTATATAGCTACTGACCCTGGAACTGTCCCTGTATATAGCTACTGACCCTGGAACTGACCCTGTATATAGCTACTGACCCTGGAACTGACCCTGTATATAGCTACTGACCCTGGAACTGTCCTGTATGTAGCTACTGACCCTGGAACTGTCCCTGTATATAGCTACTGACCCTGGAACTGACCCTGTATATAGCTACTGACCTGGAACTGACCCTGTATATAGCTACTGACCCTGGAACTGTCCCTGTATATAGCTACTGACCCTGGAACTGTATATAGCTACTGACCCTGGAACTGACCCTGTATATAGCTACTGACCCTGGAACTGACCCTGTATATAGCTACTGACCCTGGAACTGTCCCTGTATATAGCTACTGACCCTGGAACTGTATATAGCTACTGACCCTGGAACTGACCCTGTATATAGCTACTGACCCTGGAACTGACCCTGTATGTAGCTACTGACCCTGGAACTGACCCTGTATATAGCTACTGACCCTGGAACTGTCCTGTATATAGCTACTGACCCTGGAACTGTCCCTGTATATAGCTACTGACCCTGGAACTGACCCTGTATATAGCTACTGACCCTGGAACTGTCCCTGTATATAGCTACTGACCCTGGAACTGACCCTGTATATAGCTACTGTCCCTGTATATAGCTACTGACCCTGGAACTGTCCCTGTATATAGCTACTGACCCTGGAACTGACCCTGTATATAGCTACTGACCCTGGAACTGTCCCTGTATATAGCTACTGACCCTGGAACTGTATATAGCTACTGACCCTGGAACTGTATATAGCTACTGACCCTGGATCTGTATATAGCTACTGACCCTGGATCTGTATATAGCTACTGACCCTGGATCTGTATATAGCTACTGACCCTGGAACTGTATATAGCTACTGACCCTGGAACTGTATATAGCTACTAACCCTGGAACTGTATATAGCTACTGACCCTGGAACTGTATATAGCTACTGACCCTGGATCTGTATATAGCTACTGACCCTGGATCTGTATATAGCTACTGACCCTGGAACTGTATATAGCTACTGACCCTGGAACTGTATATAGCTACTGACCCTGGAACTGTCCCTGTATATAGCTACTGACCCTGGAACTGTATATAGCTACTGACCCTGGAACTGTATATAGCTACTGACCCTGGAACTGTATATAGCTACTGACCCTGGAACTGTATATAGCTACTGACCCTGGAACTGTATATAGCTACTGACCCTGGAACTGTATATAGCTACTGACCCTGGAACTGTCCCTGTATATAGCTACTGACCCCTGGAAACTGTATATAGCTACTGACCCTGGAACTGTATATAGCTACTGACCCTGGAACTGTATATAGCTACTGACCCTGGAACTGTATATAGCTACTGACCCTGGAACTGTATATAGCTACTGACCCTGGAACTGAAAATGGCAGTGTAGCCATGATCCCCAACATCTTGAGTTTGAAGAATTTAGAAAATAAAATGTGATGTAATAATGTGCTAATATTGCACAATCCAAGTGTGCAACGCTCTTAGAGACTTACCCAAGAAGACTCACAGCTGTAATCGCTGCCAAAGGTGATTCTGTCTAACCTGGACTGACTCAAAGAGCTGAATATTCATGCAACAACTATATTTTAGTTATTTAATTTCGAATAATCGTAAAAAAAATATTGATTTTTGGTTTTTACTTTGACAGAGTAGTTTGTGTACATTGTTGAGAAAAAAGTTAAATGAAATCCATTTGAATCCTTTGTAACAATAACATGTGAAGTAATCCAAGGGATCTGAATACTATTGCAAGGCACTGTATTTAAATGATCCCTATATTCTGAACCTGTTCTCTAGATGGATTCTAAAATTCTATTTAAAAAGGTATTTAAAGGGATTGTATTTAAGATAAATGTACTCAAAACCTGAATGAAAACTCCACGAGAAAATCTGTTGCCCAGCAAGTGGGAGGGTTTTCAGCGGTTTAATTAAATGTATTCAGCGATCGCAAGGGAACCACGCCTGCAAAGGCCGTTACGCACCTTCATTACGTAAGTCTGAATACCAACTACTAAGAAGGCATCCTAAGTCGGAATCGGGCTTTCATGAATTGGAAAAATGCACAATTTCAATTCACTTCCTGAATTGACTACATTGAAAAGTGAATTGACCCCAACTCGGATTCAAATGTATAAAAGGTATATGATAACTACACTGAACAGACACTAATGGGTTTACATCCCTGTTAGTGAGCATTTCTTCTTTCCCAAAATAATCCATCCACCTGAAAGGGTGGCAAATCAAGAAGCTGATTAAACAGCATGATCATTACACAGGTGCACCTTGTGCTGGGGACAATAAAAGGTCACTAAAATGTGCAGTTGTGTCACACAACACAATGCCACAGCTGTATCAAGTTGAGGGAGCGTGCAATTGGAATGCTGACAACAGGAATGTCCACCAGAGCTGTTGCCAGAGAATTGAATGTTCCTTTCTCTACCATAAGCCGCCTCCAACGTCGTTTTAGAGAATTTTGGCAGTACGTCCAGCCGGCATCACAACCGCAGACCACGTGTAACCACGCCAGCCCAGGACCGCCACATCCGGCTTCTTCACCCGCGGGATCATCTGAGACCAGCCACCCGGACAGCTGATGAAACTGAGGAGTATTTCTGTCTGTAATAAAGCCCTTTTGTGGGGGAAAACTCATTCTGAGTGGCTGGGCCTGGCTCCCCAGTGGGTGGGCCTGGCTCCCCAGTGGGTGGGCCCTATGCCCTCCCAGGCCCACCCATGGCTTCACCCCTGCCCAGTCATGTGAACTCCATAGATTAGGGCCTAATGAATTTATTTCAATTGACTGATTTCCTTATATGAATTGTAACTCAGTGAAATTGTTGCATGTTGTGTTAATATTTTTGTTCAGTATACATAGGGTGAGTCCCAAATGGTACCCTATTCCATATATAGCGCACTACCTTGGACCAGAGCCCTGGAAGACAACAGGATGCCATTTCAGAGGCAAACATACTGTGCTTCATCTTCAACTCTGAGACAATCTCAGCTCCTCCTCTCTGGCACTCCTATCCAAGCGGTGCGTCTCAGACTCCAGCACAGAGGGGATTGGCTGCTGCGAGACCAACACCAGCGAATCAGTCAAGTCTTGGCGAAGAGACACCAGCCATTGGTTGTTCCTGGAGGAGTGTTGGATGAACTCCATCCTCTCCCGGTGGTCGAGGACTAGCGTCAGCTGTAGGTAGTGTACCTGCGAGGTTAGGGAAGGTTCAATATTAATATAACAATAAAGGTTTTATATCGTTCAATCACCTTGATAGATTATGATTAAATAAGCTTGAGAAATATAGATAGAAATACAATATATAGAGATACTCTGATTTGTCAAGCCTATTTAATCATAATTTATCAAGGTCAGTAGTTCTGATCTATAAAGATTCAGAGTCCAAAGCTGCAGAGCTGTAATGGTCTGGCGGTCCATTGGGACACACAGTACCAGTCAAACGTTTGGACACACCTACTCATTCCAGGGTTTTTCTATATTTTTTACTATTTTCTACATTGGAGAATAATAGTGAAGACATCACAACTATGAAATAACACATATGGAATCATGATTTGAGATTCTTCAAATAGCCACCCTTTGCCTTGATGACAGCTTTGCACACTCTTGGCATTCTCTCAACCAGCTTCACCTGGAATACTTTTCCAACAGTCTTGAAGGAGTTCCCACATATGCTGAGCACTTGTTAGCTGCTTTTCCTTCACACTGCGGTCCGACTCATCCCAAACCATCTCAATTGGGTTGAGGTCAGGGGATTGTGGAGGCCAGGTCATCTGATGCAGCACTCCATCACTCTACTTCTTGGTAAAATAGCCCTTACACAGCCTGGAGGTGACGAGACCGCCTACAGGGAGGAGGTGAGGGCTCTGGGAGTGTGGTGCCAGGAAAATAACCTTTCACTCAACGTCAACAAAACAAAGGAGATGATCGTGGACTTCAGGAAACAGCAGAGGGTGCACACCCCTATCCACATCGACGGGACAGCAGTGGAGAAGGTGGAAAGCTTCAAGTTCCTTGGCGTACACATCACTGACAAACTGAAATGGTCCATCCACGCAGACAGTGTGGTGAAGAAGGCACAACAGAGCCTCTTCAACCTCGGGAGGCTGAAGAAATTTGTCTTGGCACCTAAAACCCTCACTAACTTTTACAGATGCACAATTGAGAGAATCCTGTCGGGCTGTATCACTGCCTGGTATGGCAACTGCACCACCCGCAACCGCAGGGCTCTCCAGAGGGTGGTGCGGTCTGCCGAACGCATTACCGGGGGCAAACTACCCGCCCTCCAAGAAACCTAGTGCACCCGATGTCACAGGAAGGCCAAAAAGATCATCAAGGACATCAACCACCCGAGCCACTGCCTGTTCACCCCGCTATCATCCAGAAGGCGAGGTCAGTACAGGTGCATAATAATATAATAATATGCCATTTAGCAGACGCTTTTATCCAAAGCGACTTACAGTCATGCGTGCATACATTATTAGTTTTTTGTGTATGGGTGGTCCCGGGGATCGAACCCACTACCTTAGCGTTACAAGCGCCGTGCTCTACCAGCTGAGCTACAGAGGACCACATCAAAGCTGGGACCGAGAGAATGAAAAACAGCTTCTATCTCAAGGCCATCAGACTGTTAAATAGCCATCACTAGCACATTAGAGGCTGCTGCTGCCTATTGAAATCACTGGCCACTTTAAGAGATGGAACACTAGTCACTTTAATAATGTTTACATATCTTGCACTACTCATCTCATATGTATATACTGCATTCTATTCTATAATATTCTACTGTATCTTAGTCCATGCCGCTCTGTCATTGCTTGTCCATATATGTATATATTCTTAAATTCCATTCCTTACTAGATTTGTGTGTATTGGGGATATGTTGTGAAATTGTTAGATATTACTTGTTAGATATTACTGCACTGTCGGAGCTAGAAGCACAAGCATTTCGCTACACCCACAATAACATCTGCTGAACACGCGTATGTGACAAATACAATTTGATTTGATTTGTTGGGTCATTGTCCTGTTGAAAAACAAATGAGTCCCACTAAGCCCAAACCAGATGGAATGGCGTATCGCTGCAGAATGATGTGGTAGCCACGCTGGTTAAGTTTGCCTTGAATTCTAAATAAATCACAGACAGTGTCACCAGCAAAGCTCCCCCACACCATAACACCTCTTCCTCCATGCTTTACGGTGGGAGCTACACATGCGGAGATCATCCGTTCACCCACACCGCATCTCACAAATACACGCCGGCTGGAACCAAAAATCTCACATTTGGACTCCAGACCAAAGGACACATTTCCACTGGTCCAATGTCCATTGCTCGTGTTTCTTGGCCCAAGCAAGTCACTTCTTCTTATTGGTGTCCTTTAGTAGTGGTTTCTTTGCAGCAATTCGACCATGAAGGCCTTGATTCACACAGTCTCCTCTGAACAGTTGATGTTGAAATGTGTCTGTTACTTGAACTCTGTGAAGCATTTATTTGGGCTGCAATTTCTGAGTCTGGTAACTCTAATGAACTTATCCTCTGTAGCGGAGGTAACTCTGGGTCTTCCATTCCTGTGGCGGTCCTCATGAGAGCCAGTTTCATCATAGCGCTTGATGGTTTTTGCGACTGCACTTGAAGAAACCTTCAAAGTTCTTGACATTTTCCGAATTGACTGACCTTCATGTCTTAAAGTAATGATGTACTGTTGTTTCTCTTTGCTTATTTGAGCTGTTCTTGCCATAATATGGACTTGGTCTTTTACCAAATAGGGCTATCTTCTGTATACCACCCCTACCTTGTCACAACACAACTGATTGGCTCAAACGCATTGAGAAGGAAAGAACTTCCACAAATTAACTTTTAAGAAGGCACACCTGTTAATTGAAATGCATTCCAGGTGACTACCTCATGAAGCTGTTTGAGAGAATGCCAAGAGTGTGCAAAGCTGTCATCAAGGCAAAGGGTGGCTATTTGAAGAATCTCAAATATAAAATATATTTTGATTTGTTTAACACTTTTTTGGTTACTACATGATTCCATATGTGTTATGTCATAGTTTTGATGTCTTCACTATTATTCTACAATGTAGAAAATAGTAAAAATAAAGAAAAACCCTTGAATGAGTAGGTGTCCATACTTTTGACTGGTAGTGTATCTCTGAGACCACCGACCGTGCACCTCCCCAAAATACACAACCTCTGTGTACACGGGCTCTATTCTTTTGAATGTGGAGACGGTTGGAGAAATTGCTTGAGGCGCGCTGAGAATTCCAAAACTACGAAAGCAACGGTCCAATACTCTAGAACACTGCTGTGTTTAAGCGCCTAAGGGAACAGGGTACCATTTGGGACACAGCCGTGGTGACCTACCTGATCCTCTAGTTCCTTCACCTTGGTCCTTAAGTGTTCCAACTCCTCTGTTTCAAGACCAACCAAGCCCCTGGACTCCTGCCGTGCAGAAGAGAAAGGAAATGAATGCTCTGTCTATATTCAGCACATTACAGGGGATTATCCTGAGTAAGCCTCCGTGCAGATTTGCCAATCACATAATTACTGAAGTTATTTGGGATGCAAAGTGATTTGTAGATCGGTTATTGGGTGCAGTCCAACTGCACTGTAGCGGGACATTGAGTTGTAACTGCTAATGACATGACATCACTAGAGCAGTTAGTAGATGGCTGATGGCTGATGGCTGATGGCTGATGACCAACCTGAGCTCTGTCTCTGGGGCTGCTGGAGGACAACTGATTATGTGATGATCCTCTCTCCACCTTGAAAACAAACCACATCAGAAGTATCATTCTATATAGTAAGGTTACTGGTCTGAATTCTCCAAGTCTGGGACTATAAAACGGGCAAGTGTGAGGGCACCTCCTTTCTATTCGGGATCCGAAATCAGATCAATTGAGGATTGATTTAGCCTTTAGTTCTGCAGGTAAATACGGTAGAAATGAGGAGGTACAGTACAATACCTGTGTTAGCATCTCTCTAAGGTGCTTCCTCTCAGTCTTTAGTCTGTCAGTGCGTTGTTCCAGTTGTGTGTTCCTCCTCTGTATCCGTCTGTTGGTTATCTCTAGCTGGGCCACGGCCCTCTGCAGGACAGACAGACGTTCCTGGATCACAGGGTCTATCTCTATCTGGGCCACGGCCCTCTGCAGGACAGACAGACACTCCTTAACACCAGGGTCGTGTACTGAATTGTACAGCACTACTGTCTCCAGTATGGGCAGACAGGTCAGACTCACCAGACAGACACTCAATCGCTGCTCACAACTGGAAAACTGCTAAATGTCTCTTGGGGAGTTATAATGTCTCTTGGGGAGTTATAATGTCTCTTGGGGAGTTATTTTTTTATTTCACCTTTATTTAACCAGGTAGGCCAGTTGAGAACAAGTTCTCATTTACAACTGCGACCTGGCCAAGATAAAGCAAAGCAGTGCGATAAAAACAACACAGAGTTACATATGGGGTAAAACAAAACATAAAGTCAAAAATACAACAGAAAATATATATACAGTGTGTGCAAATGTTGCAAGTTATGGAGGTAAGGCAATAAATAGGCCATAGTGCAAAATAATTATAATTTAGTATTAACACTGAAATGCTAGATGTGCAAGAGATGATGTGCAAATAGAGATACTGGGGTGCAAATGAGCAAAATAAATAACAATATGGGGATGAGGTAGTTGGGTGGGCTAATTACAGATGGGCTGTGTACAGGTGCAGTGATCGGTAAGGTGCTCTGACAACTGATGGTTAAAGTTAGTGAGGGAGATAAGAGTCTCCAGCTTCAGAGATTTTTGCAGTTCGTTTCAGTCATTGGCAGCAGAGAACTGGAAGGAATGGCGGCCAAAGGAGGTGTTGGCTTTGGGGATGACCAGTGAGATATACAGTGGGGAGAAGAAGTATTTGATACACTGCCGTTTTCCTACTTACAAAGCATGTAGAGGTCTGTAATTTTTATCATAGGTACACTTCAACTGTGAGAGACGGAATCTAAGACAAAAATCCAGAAAATCACATCGTATGATTTTTAAGTAATTAATTTGCATTTTATTGCATGACATAAGTATTTGATACATCAGAAAAGCAGAACTTAATATTTGGTACAGAAACCTTTGTTTGCAATTACAGAGATCATACGTTTCCTGTAGGTCTTGACCAGGTTTGCACACACTGCAGCAGGGATTTTGGCCCACTCCTCCATACAGACCTTCTCCAGATTCTTCAGGTTTCGGGGCTGTCGCTGGGCAATACGGACTTTCAGCTCCCTCCAAAGATTTTCTATTGGGTTCAGGTCTGGAGACTGGCTAGGCCACTCCAGGACCTTGAGATGCTTCTTACGGAGCCACTCCTTAGTTGCCCTGGCTGTGTGTTTCGGGTCGTTGTCATGCTGGAAGACCCAGCCACGACCCATCTTCAATGCTCTTACTGAGGGAAGGAGGTTGTTGGCCAAGATCTCGCGATACATGGCCCCATCCATCCTCCCCTCAATCCGGTGCAGTCATCCTGTCCCCTTTGCAGAAAAGCATCCCCAGAGAATGATGTTTCCACCTCCATGATTCACGGTTGGGATGGTGTTCTTGCGGTTGTACTCATCCTTCTTCTTCCTCCAAACATGGCGAGTGGAGTTTAGACCAAAAAGCTCTATTTTTGTCTCATCAGACCACATGACCTTCTCCCATTCCTCCTCTGGATCATCCAGATGGTCATTGGCAAACTTCAGACGGGCCTGGACATGCGCTGGCTTGAGCAGGGGGACCTTGCGTGCGCTGCAGGATTTTAATCCATGACGGCGTAGTGTGTTACTAATGGTTTTCTTTGAGACTGTGGTCCCAGCTCTCTTCAGGTCATTGACCAGGTCCTGCCGTGTAGTTCTGGGCTGATCCCTCACCTTCCTCATGATCATTGATGCCCCACGAGGCAAGATCTTGCATGGAGCCCCAGACCGAGGGTGATTGACCGTCATCTTGAACTTCTTCCATTTTCTAATAATTGCGCCAACAGTTGTTGCCTTCTCACCAAGCTGCTTGCCTATTGTCCTGTAGCCCATCCCAGCCTTGTGCAGGTCTACAATTTTATCCCTGATGTCCTTACATAGCTCTCTGGTCTTGGCCATTGTGGAGAGGTTGGAGTCTGTTTGATTGAGTGTGTGGACAGGTGTCTTTTATACAGGTAACGAGTTCAAACAGGTGCAGTTAATACAGGTAATGAGTGGAGAACAGGAGGGCTTCTTAAAGAAAAACTAACAGGTCTGTGAGAGCCGGAATTCTTACAGGTTGGTAGGTGATCAAATACTTATGTCATGCAATAAAATGCAAATTAATTACTTAAAAATCAGACAATGTGATTTTCTGGATTTTTGTTTTAGATTCCGTCTCTCACAGTTGAAGTGTACCTATGATAAAAATGACAGACCTCTACATGCTTTGTAAGTAGGAAAACCTGCAAAATCGGCAGTGGATCAAATACTTGTTCTCCCCACTGTACCTGCTGGAGCGCATACTATGGGTGGGTGCTGCTATGGTGACTAATGAGCTAAGATAAGACGGGGATTTGCCTAGCAGTGATTTATAGATGACCTGGAGCCAGTGGGTTTGGCGACGAATATGTAGTGAGGGCCAGCCAACGAGAGCGTACAGGTCACAGTGGTGGGTAGTATATGGGGCTTTGGTGACAAAAACGGATGGCACTGTGATAGACTACATCCAATCTGCTGAGTAGAGTGTTGGAGGCTATTTTGTAAATGACATCGCCGAAGTCAAGGATCGGTAGGATAGTCAGTTTTACGAGGGCATTGTTTGGCAGCATGAGTGAAGGAGGCTTCGTTGCGAAATAGGAAGCCGAGACGGCCAGAGGTCCAGACAACAGGCCCTCCGATTTGACACACTGAACTCTATCTGAGAAGTAGTTGGTGAACCAGGCGAGGCAGTCATTTGAGAAACCAAGGCTATTTAGTCTGCCAATAAGAATGCGGTGGTTGACAGAGTCGAAAGCCTTGGCCTGGTAGATGAAGACGGCTGCACAGTACTGTCTATTATCGATCGCGGTTATAATATCGTTTAGGATCTTGAGCGTGGCTGAGGTGCACCCATGACCAGCTCGGAAACCGGATTGCATAGCGGAGAAGGTACGGTGGGATTCGAAATGGTTGGTGATCTGTTTGTTAACTTGGCTTTCAAAAACTTTTGAAAGGCAGGGCAGGATGGATATAGGTCTGTAACAGTTTGGATCTAGAGTGTCACCCCCTTTGAAGAGGGGGATGACCGCGGCAGCTTTCCAATCTCTGGTGATCTCCGATGATACGAAAGAGAGGTTGAACAGGCTAGTAATAGGGGTTGCAACAAGTTCGGCGGCTAGTTTTAGAAAGAAAGGGTCCAGATTGTCTAGCCCAGCTGATTTGTAGGGGTCCAGATTTTGCAGCTCTTTCAGAACATCAGCTGTCTGAATTTGTATGAAGGAGAAGCGGGGTGGGGGGGCGGTCGTTTGACCGTGGACCCGTTACGGACGCAGGCAGTAAGGCAGTGATCGCTGAGATCCTGGTTGAAGACAGCGGAGGTGTATTTAGAGGGTAAGTTAGTCAGGATAATAATGTTATAATGTCTCTTGGGGAGTTATAAGGTCTCTTGGGGAGTTATAAGTCTCTTGGGGAGTTATAAGGTCTCTTGGGGAGTTATAATGTCTCTTGGGGAGTTATAAGGTCTCTTGGGGAGTTATAAGGTCTCTTGGGGAGTTATAAGGTCTCTTGGGGAGTTATAAAGTCTCTTGGGGAGTTATAATGTCTCTTGGGGAGTTATAATGTCTCTTGGGAGTTATAAGTCTCTTGGGGAGTTATAAGTCTCTTGGGGAGTTATATGTCTCTTGGGGAGTTATAATGTCTCTTGGGGAGTTATAATGTCTCTTGGGGAGTTATAATGTCTCTTGGGGAGTTATAATGTCTCTTGGGGAGTTATAATGTCTCTTGGGGAGTTATAATGTCTCTTGGGGAGTTATAATGTCTCTTGGGGAGTTATAATGTCTCTTGGGGAGTTTATACGTCTCTTGGGGAGTTATAAGGTCTCTTGGGGAGTTATAATGTCTCTTGGGGAGTTATAATGTCTCTTGGGGAGTTATACGCTCTGGGAGTTATAAGTCTCTGGGGGTTAACGCTCTGGGGAGTTATAATGTCTCTTGGGGAGTTATTACAGCTGACATGTTAATACAAGACATGGGCCCCGGTCAAAAGTAGTGCACTATATAGGGGATCAGGTGTCAGGTAGTGCCCTATATAGGGGATCAGGCACCCTATTCTCTATGTAGTGCACTACTTCTGACCAGAGCCCATAGGGACCAATTGGGGCGCAGCCATAGAGAGGAGGTGTACTAACCTCAGAGCCCGCCCCCCTGCTCTGCTCCTGTTGGTGGGCTCTGTCCCGGTAGCCAATCATGGCAGCCTCAGTCTTCTCCAGGGCAGCTGTGACACGGTCTCTGTCCTTACCTAGTTCCTCTACTCTCTCTCTCAGGGTGTAAAGCTCCGTCTCTCTCTGTCTCAACAGTCTAAGACTCTCCTCTTCTCTCTGTCTCAACAGTCTAAGGCTATCCTGGCTCTCCTCTTCTCTCTGTCTCAACAGTCTAAGGCTCTCCTGGCTCTCCTCTTCTCTCTGTCTCAACAGTCTAAGGCTCTCCTGGCTCTCCTCTCTCTCCAGGAGCAGGGATGACAATCTCTTCCTCAGAGTAACTACCTCCTCCTGAAGCCAGACCTCTTTTCCTGGACCCTCCTGACTTCCTTCTCCTCTCTTCTGGTCTGTCGTCTCCCTTTGTTCCCCAGGCTCTCTCAGTCGCCTCTGTCCATCTGTCTCTTCTTTCTCCATACTCTTTATCTGTAGTTTCACGTCCTCTGAGTCGCTCTTCCTCTCCTCCAGTTTCTCTTTCTCTCTCAGCCTCTCCAGCTCAGTCTCCTTCTCTCTCAGCCTCTCCAGCTCTGTCTCCTTCTCTCTCAGCATGTCTGTGACTAACTCTACACGCCTCAGGCTCTCCCTCCTATCCTCCACTTCCTGTCTCAACGTCTCGATCTTCCGCTGAAGCCTCTCAATCTCTCTCTTCTTCTCTTCTCTCTCTCCCTCCACCTCTCTGATCCTCTCTCTCAGCTGTGTAACTTCCTGACTTTTCTCGGCAGCCAGACAGCTGAGCTCTGTCCTCTGTTCCTCCAAGACATCCAGTCTGGCCCTTGCGGTGGTCAGCTCAGCCTCCTTCTCTCCCAACACCTCTTCCACCTCCTTCTGTCTCCTCTCCTTCTCTCTCACTGCCTCCTCCAGCTCCTCCTCTCTGGCTCTGAGCTTCCTCTCCACCTCCCTCTTCTCCTGCTCCACAGCCCTGGTCCTCCCTCGCAGCTCCTCCACCTCTCCCCGGGCGGCACGCAGGCTCTCCTCCCTGCTCCTCACCACCTCCTCTTTCCTCTCCTGCAGGAGGCTCCTTAGCCTCTCCCCCTCGATGTGGCTCTCCTCCAGCAGCTGGTTCAGGGTAGCCATCTCCTGCATGGCTGTCTTCAGCCCCTCTCTCATCTTCTGGTTGTCCTCCTCCTTCTCCTGCACCTCCTTCCTGCTTCTCTCCTGCTCCTTCAGGGTGGCCAGACTGAGGGCCAGCGCCTCCCTGCTCTCCTTCAACTCCTCCTCCATCCTCCTCAGTGAGGCACCATTCCTCTCCTTCTCTCTCCTCTCTCTGTGAGTCTCGTCCTTCAGGCTCCCAGCTTCTCTCTCCTTCTTCCTGATCTCAGCTAGGAGGCGGTCTCTCTCCTCCTCCAGGGCATTAACCTGAGCCCCCAGCCTCTCCACGCGACCTCCTCTCTCCTCCTGCAGGAGGCGTTGTCTCTGCACCTCCTCTAGTCTGGACCTCAGTCTCTCTCTCTCCGCCTGCTCCTCTCTCAGCTGGGCACCCAACCATTCCCTTTCCTCCTGGTTCCTCCTCAACACGACCTCCTGTCTCTCCCTCTCCTCCTCACTCCTTTTCAGCTCCTCCTTCTGTCTCTCTCTCTCTACCGCTCTCACCCTAAAGTCCTCCACCTCCTCCTCTCTCTCCTCCAGGAGCTGTGAGAGCCTTCCTACTTCTCTTATCCGTTCCTCCACTCTTTCTTTCCATTTCTTCACCTCATCTTCCAGTCTTTCATTGTTCTCCTCTGTTTCCTGTGCCCGTTCTCGCTCTCTCTCCCTCTCCTCCTTGGCCCTCTCTCTGCCCTGACTCCTCTCTGTCTCTAGTAAAGACTCAGTCTCTGTCAGTAGGTCTGAGATATGTTTCTCTGAGAGCTCTGACTGGTGCATTCTGTCTTTCAGATTCCTCAACTCTTCCTCTCTCTGCTGTAACCTAGCCCCTGCCTCTTCCTCCTCCCTCAGTCTCTCCTCCTCCTTTTCTCTCAGTGTCCCCCACAGTTTCTCTAGCTCCACTTCTCTTTCCCTCATCTTCCCCTCTAGTTTCTGTTGCTCTCTCTTCCCCCAATCCCTGTCTTCTTCTAAGACAATCAACTTCACTCTCAGGACCTCAACCTCTCCTTCGCTTTGCTCCAGCTTTTCTCTCAGTCTCTCCTCTCTCTCCCTTCCCTCAGACTCCCTCCACCTCTTTCTCAGACTCTCCTCCTGGTATTTCACTCTCTCCCTCTCTCTCAGCTGTGAGTTCTCTCTCTCCACGCCAACCATTTTTTTCTCCAATAGTTCCGTTTTCTTCAGTTCTGCCTCCAGATAGTCTCTGTCTTCCTCCAGTGAGATCATTCTAGTTTTCAGCTCCTCTATCTCCTCTAATCTCTTCCTTCCCTCTACCTCCTTCTTTTTCAGTTGTTCCGCTACCTTCTCACCCTCTCTTTTAACAGCCTTTAGTTGTTCACTGGCATTCTTCTCTTTTTCAGTGAGCCTCTGACTCAGTCTCTCATTTTCTCTCTCTCCCTCCTCTGCTCTCTCCCTCCATCTCTCTCCCTCTGCTCTCTCCCTCCATCTCTCCCCCTCCTCTGCTCTCTCCCTCCATCTCTCTCCCTCTGCTCTCTCCCTCCATCTCTCCCCCTCCTCTGCTCTCTCCCTCCATCTCTCTTCCTCTGCTCTCTCCCTCCATCTCTCCCCCTCCTCTGCTCTCTCCCTCCATCTCTCCCCTCCTCCTTCAGTTCTCTCTCTCTGTGTTGGTGGCTCTTGTGTTCTGAGGTTAGTCTCTCCAGCTCTGCATCTCTCTCCTCCTTCTCCTTCTCTAATCCCTCCATCCTGCTCCGGAGATCCTGTACCTCGACGTCTTTCTGTGCCAGCTCTCCTTTCAGTCTCTCCTCTCTCTCCCTGCTCTTCTGCCTCTCTCTTTCCTCTCTTCTCCTCTTCCTCCATCTCCCTGTCCCTGAGTTTGGTGTTGGCCTCTTCTAAAGCCAGAAGGTTTCCCTTTAATATCTCAATGTCCTTTAACTCTTCCTCCAGAGAGATGACAATGGCTTTCAGCTCTGTACTCTCCTCCTCACTCTTTCTCAGAAGTTCTGCCACCTTCTCCATCTCTCTTCTTGTGGCGTTCAGTTGTTCACTCTCTTTCTTCTGTCTTTCTTTAAACCTCTGACTCATTTCATCCCTGTCCCTCTCCAGATAGCCTCTGTCTTCCTCCAGTGAGATCATTCTAGTTTTCAGCTCCTCTATCTCCTCTAATCTCTTCCTTCCCTCTACCTCCTTCTTTTTCAGTTGTTCCGCTACCTTCTCACCCTCTCTTTTAACAGCCTTTAGTTGTTCACTGGCATCTTCTCTTTTTCAGGGCCTCGATCAGTCTCTCATTTTCTCTCTCCCTCTCTGCTTCTCCCTCCATCTCTCTCCCCCGCTCTCCCTCCATCTCCCTCCTCTGTTCTCCGCCATTCTTCCCTCTGCTTTCCCTCATCTCCTCATCCTTCTCTCTCTCCATGCCATCTCTCTCCTTCTTCCTCTCTCTCCCTCCATCTCTCTCCTTCTTCCTTTCTCTCCCTCCATCTCTCTCCTTGCTCTCTCCTCCATCTTCCTCCTCTGCTCTCCCCTCTCTTCTCCCTCTGCTCTTCCTCCTTCCCCCTCTTGCTCTTCCTCCATTCTCTTCCTGTCTCCTCATTTCTCTTGTCTTCTCTTCTCCCCTCTGCTCTTCCTCCATTCTCCCCCTCTCTGCTCCTCTCCCATCTCTTCCTCCTCTGATCTCTCCCTCCATCTCTCCCTCCTCCTTCAGTTCTCTCTCTCTGTGTTGGTGGCTCTTGTGTTCTGAGGTTAGTCTCTCCAGCTCTGCATCTCTCTCCTCCTTCTCCTTCTCTAATCCCTCCATCCTGTCCGGAGATCCTGTACCTCGACGTCTTTCTGTGCCAGCTCTCCTTTCAGTCTCTCCCTCTCTCCCTCTCTTCTGCCTCTCTCTTTTCTCTCTTCTCCTCTTCCTCAATCTCCCTGTCCCTGAGTTTTGTGTTGGCCTCTTCTAAAGCCAGAAGGTTCCCTTTAATATCTCAATGTCCTTTAACTCCTTCCTCCAGAAGAATGACCATGGCTTTAAGCTTTTTTTTTTCCTCCCCCCCCCCACTTTTTTCTCAGAAGTTTTTTTTGCCACCTCTCCCCCCCCCCCCCCCCCCCCCCCTCTTTTCTTGGTGGCTTTGGGGTTTTTTTCCCTTCTTTTTTCTGCCCTTCTTTCCCTACCCCAAAAACCCCTCCCCCCCCGTGCTCTGCCCCCAAATTTTCTTTTTTAAAGGCCCCACTCCCCACTCCCCCCAACCTCTTCTTTTTTTTTTAAAAAAATTCCCCCCCCCCTTTTCTCTTTTCCCTTTTATTTTTTTCCTCTTTTTTCTTTTTTCAACCTTACTCAGCTCTTTTTTTTCCCTTTTTCCCCTCCTTTTCTCTCTCCCTCCTTTCCTCCCCCCCTCTGTTTCTCCTTCCCCCCTTCTGTCTCCCTCTCCTCCTCCCCTCCCCCTCCTCCTCCCCGGGGCCACCCTTTCCCCGGGCTCCCCCTTATTCTTTCCCCTTGTTTTGTCACCCCCCTTTTTTTCTCTTTTTTTTGGGGCTCCCCCAACTCGGGTTCTCCTTGCCATTTTCCCCCCTTTTCTCTATTCTTCCTCCTTCATGTCCCCTCCTGGTGGGGGGTTTTTTTTCCAGGTTATTCTCATCGCCCCCCTTTTAACAAATCATCCCTTTTCTCTCCCTCCAACCACCTCTGTTCATTTAACCTTTTCCCGGCCCCATCCGGGACTTCCCCCAACCCTCTTTTTGCCATTTTCCCCCCCTTTCTCTCCTTCCCCTTTTTCCGTTCCCTTGCACCCCACCTTAAAGAAAACCCCCACACCGCCAATCCCCCTTTGTCCCCTCCCCCACTCCGCTCCTCCCCCTCCCGGTACCCCTTATCCTCCCCTCAGAAATTTAAACCCTCCCTAACAAAAACAAATACACCTAACAACAGAATTTATTCATAACTTTTAAAAATGAACCAACAAGTAATACCTTTTGGTTTCTTTAATTTAGGGCTAACCCCCAAATACGATAAATTAAAATTTGTTAAAAACCATTATTACATACCCGCTAATACCCTGATTTTTTACTCCCCCAAAAGGAATTTTTGTTTACTTAACACATTACCACCCTAATCCCCTAGAATTCCCCTAAACGTACGGCCCTCTCCCCCCACCATACCGCTTTCCCTTTAAGGGGGTTTTTTTACACCTTAGGATCCTAACAAATAAAACCTACAACAGGGGAAAACCACAACGAATCCACTACAATTATACCACACAAGCAAAATACCATAGATCCTACTACCACTACAACGCTAATACCACCACTACAACGCTAATACCACTATGATACTACTACCACTACAACGCTAATAAAATACAACAAATAATAATAATCCACTACAACGCTACCAATACCACTCCCCAAAACGAATACCACACCAAGTTTTAAATACCATAGTTTATTTACTCCCCCACAAAAACGCTAATCCCACAATACAAAATGCTAATCCCCACTAGGATATATCCATAAAACCCTTAATCCCCAATACAACACTCCCCACTACAAGCAATCCCATAAACTACACCCTACAACGCAAAATCCAAAGATACAACCACTAAAAACCTAATACCATTTGATACTACTCCCCACTAAACCTAATCCCACTCTATATACCCCATAAAAACGCTTACATTACTCCCCAACTACAACCAATCCCCAACCCCTAATCCACTACAACTACCACCACTAAAACGCAAAACCCACACAATACAACCACAAACTAATACCACTACAACTACTACCCCTACAAAACCTAATACCACTACGATACTACTCCCCACAAAAGCTAAAACCATCGATACCCCTACTCCATACAACGCTAATACCACTATGATTACACCACTAACGCAAATCCCATACGTACTATTACCACAAAAGCTAATACCACTGTACAACCAATACAACCAATACCCATAAATTATCCCACTACGATCTACTACCACAAAACAACCTAATCCCAATACGATATCCCCTAAAACCCCCAAAAAACAAATACCATCCCGAATCCCCTACTACCCCCTACACGAAAACCCCACTAGTAATACCAAATACAACCTAAACCATACGAAAACCCCCAAAAAAATTACCATCGCTCCCCTCCACCTTTAATTTCCCCTCCCCTTTCCCAATACCACAATATACCACCCTTTTTAAATCCACAGATACACCCCCCCCCCCACCCTCGTACCCCCCCTCTCTTTTCCTTTAAAATACCCTCCCCAAAACCCCCAAAAACCCCCCCCCTAACCCCTTACTTTTTATAATACCCAAAACCACCCTCCCCTTTCCCACCCAACCTTCCCCCAAAAACCACCACAAACACGAATTCCCCATAATCTCTCCATCCCTTCCACACGATCTTCCCATAAACCCCCCCATCATCTTTTCCCTCCCTTCCCCAAACCCAAATCTATCCACACAACGCAAATACCACACAAACTACACCACTCAACGCTAATACCACTTCGATCCTACCATCAACGTAATCCCACCGAACTATACCACACAAGCTAATACACTACGAAACTACTACCACACAACCCCTAATACCATACATACACCACCCTCAATGCAATCCCCACTACATATACTCCCACTACAATGCTAAACCACTAATACTACCCCCATAAAAACGCTAATCCCATCGATACTACTCACTACAACCTAAACCCACCATTTTACAACGCTAATCCCACTACGATACTACCACCACTACAACGCTAATACCACTACGATACTATACCACACACGCAATACCACCACTACTGCTAATACCATCGATACTACTCCACTAAACGAAAACCATACATTACACCCCCCAAAAAAAACGCTAAACCACAAACGTTTTACCCCACCATCCAACGTAAACCACTACGTACTCTACCATACAACGCAATACCACTACTTTACTAACCCTAAAACCCTTTAAACCCTATGAACTACTACCACTACAAGTAAATCCCATACAACTACTCCACCAATGTAATACCACTACGTTTAAAATACCACTCAACGCTAATACCCCACTATAACGCATACCATTCTACTATCACATACAACGCAAATACCCATGTATACTACCACTAAAACGAAACCCTACGATACTACCACCACTACAACACTAATACCACTACGATACTACTACCACTACAATGCTAATACCACCTATGTTCTTTTAGTTCCTTACTAAGACCTAGAAACCGGGGGGGGAGTTCCTTACAAAGACCTAGAAAACCCCGTGGGGGGGTCCTTACTAAGACTAGACAACCAGGTGGGGGAGCCCTTTATGGGGACCTAGACAACCGGGGGGGGGTTTTTTCTTACTAAGCCCGGGCAACCAGGTGAGGGGATTCCCACAAAGCCCTAACAACCGGGTTTTGGGGGGGTTTTCCTACAAGCCCTAGACAACCAGGTGAGGAGATTTCCCTCACTAAGACAGACAACCAGGGAGGGGGTTCCTTACAAAAGCCTAGAAAACCCAGGTAGGGGGTTCCCTACTAAAATGACAACCAGGGAGGGGATTTTCCTTATAGACCTAGACAACCAGGGGGGGGGTTTCCCACTAAGACCTAACAACCAGGTGGGGGGAGCCCTTTACAAAGACCTAGCCCCCCCAGGTGGGGGGAGTTCCTTTGTAAAAACCTAGAAAACCCAGGTGAGGGGAGTTCCTAAAAGACCTAAAACCAGGGGGGGGAGTTCCTTACTAAAACTAGACAACCCGGTGAGGGGGAGTTCCTCATAAGACCAGACAACCAGGTGAGGGGGAGTTCCTAAATAAGCCCTAGAAAACCAGGTGAGGGGGATTTCCCTCACTAAGACCTAAAACCAGGGAGGGATTTCCCTTCTAAGCCCTAGACAACCGGAAAGGGAGTTCCTCAAAGCCCTAGAAAACCGGGGTGGGGGGGTTCCTTTACTAAGCCTAGACAACCAGGTGAGGGGAGTCCATTAAGCCCTTTGACAACCTGGGGGGAGTTTCCTTACAAACCAAACAACCGGTGAGGGGGTTTCCCATAAGACTAGACAACCAGGTGGGGGGAGTTCCTTGCAAAACCCTAACAACCAGGTGAGGGGGTTTTTTATAAGACCAAAAAACCCCCAGGTGGGGGGTTCCTCACTAAGACTAGACCCGGGTGGGGGAGTTCCCCAAAGACCTAAAAACCAGGTGAGGGGAGTTCCTTCTAAGACCTTAAAAACCAGTTGGGGGGTTTCCTCACAAAGCCCCTAGACAACCGGTGAGGGGAGTCCTCGCTAAGACCTAGCAACCAGGTGGGGGGGATTTTCCTTGCTAAGCCTAAAACCAGGTGAGGGGAGCCTTGTAAGACCTAGACAACCAGGTGAGGGGAGTTCCTTTTACTAAGCCCTAGACAACCAGGTGAGGGAGTTCCTTTACTAACCTTTAGACACCAGGTGAGGGGAGTTCCTTACAAGCCCTAGACAACCAGGTGAGGGGAGCCCTTTTGCTAAGCCCTAGAAAAACCAGGGTGGGGGGAGTTCCTTACAAGACCTAAAAACAGGGGGGGATTTCCTCACTAAGCCCTAACAAACCGGTAGGGGAGTCCTTACAACCCCTAACAACCAGGTGAGGGGGTTCCTCACAAAAACCTAGAAACCATTTGGGGGATTTCCTTCTAAGACCTAGACAACAAGGGGGGGAGCCCCCTCACTAAGACCGACAACCAGGTGGGGGGGTTTCCTTGCTAAACCTAACAACCAGGTGAGGGGATTTCCCTTACTAGACAAACAACCAGTGGGGGGAGTTCCCCCCTAAGACTGGGACAACCAGGTGAGGGGAGCCCCTTACTAAACCTAGAAAACCCAGGTGAGGGGTTCCCTTTTCAAAAGACCTAACACCAGGTAGGGGATTTCCCTTAAAGACCTAAAAACCCCCGGGGGGGGGGTTCCCCTTACTAAGCCCCTAGACAACCAGGTGAGGGGGTTTCCTCACAAACCTAGAAAAACCAGGTGAGGGGAGTTCCTCACTAAGACCGACAAACCAGGTGGGGGGGTTCCCAAAAGACCTAGAAAAACCGGGTTTGGGGGGGGAGTTCCTTACAAGCCCTAGAAACCGGTGAGGGGAGTTCCTCACTAAGCCCTAGACAACCAGGTGGGGGGATTTCCCTTTACTAGCCTAGACAACCAGGGGTGAGGGGTTCCTTTACTAAGACCTAGACAACCGGTGGGGGGATTTCCTCAAACCCTGAAAACCCGGGGGGGGATTTTCCTTACAAACCCTAGAAAAACCAGGTAAAGGGATTTTTCCTACAAGCCCTAGACAACCGGGGGGGGATTCCTTTTAAGCCCCTAACAACCCAGGTGAGGGGATTCCTTCTAAACCTGAAACCAGGGGGGGGGAGTTCCTTACTAAGCCCAGAAAACCAGGTGAGGGGGTTTCCTTTGAAAGACCTAGACAACCATAGGGGGAGTTCCTTACAAAGCCCTAAAAACCAGGTGGGGGGAGTCCTCACTAAAACCTGACAACCAGGTGAGGGGAGGTTCCTTACTAAACCTGACAACCGGTGAGGGGAGTTCCTTACTAAGCCCTAGAAAAACCCAGGGGGGGGATTTCCCTTTACTAAGCCAGAAAACAGGTAGGGGATTCCTTACTAAGAAGACAACCGGTGAGGGGATTTTCCTGCAAGCCCTAGAAAACCAGGTGAGGGGGTTTTTCCCTTATAAGACCTAGAAACCCAGGTGGGGGGGAGTTCCTCCAAAGGGCCCTAGCAACCGGGGTGAGGGATTCCCTCACAAGACAAAACAACCAGGGGGGGGAGTTCCTTCTAAGACCTGACAACCAGGTGAGGGGAGTTCCTTCTAAGACTAGACAAAAGGTGAGGGGGGTTCCTTACAAGACCGACCCCAGGGTATGGGATTTCCTTTATAAGCCCCTAGACAACCAGGTGAGGGAGTTCCCCTATGCCCTAGACAACCAGGTGGGGGGAGTCCTTGCTAAACCTAACAACCAGGGGGGGAGTTCCTTACTAAGACCAGACACCAGGGGGGGGAGTTCCTTACTGGGCCCTAGAAAAACCAGGTGAGGGATTCCCTACTAAACCCTAGACAACCGGTAGGGGAGTTCCCTTACTAAGACCTAACAACCAGGGGGGGGGAGTTCCTTATAAGCCCCTGAAAACCGGGGGGTGAGGGGATTTCCTTTTAAATAAACCAGAAACCGGGGTGGGGGATTTCCCTTTACTAAACCTGAAAACCGGGTGGGGGGTTTTCCTTACTAAGCCTAGACCCAGGGGGGGGGATTTTTTACTAAACCTAGAAACCAGGTTAGGGGATTCTTACTAACCTAGACACCAGGTGATAGGGGAGTTCCTCACTAAGATCCTAGACAACCAGGTGAAGGGAGTTCCATTACTAAGACCTAGAAACAAGGGGCATGGTGAGGGGATTTCCCTGACGAACTAGTGACCTTAATTCATCCATCAAGTACAAGGGAGGAGCGTAAACCAGCAGCCACTCGGCCCTCCGTGTAAACCAGCAGCCACTCGGCCCTCCGTGTAAACCAGCAGCCACTCGGCCCTCCGTGTAAACCAGCAGCCACTCGGCCCTCCGTGTAACCCATCAAGCCCTCGGCCCTCCGGTGTAAACACCAGCAAGCCACTCGGCCCCTCCGCGGAATGAGTTTGACACGTGCTGTAAGCAGTCTATGGACAAGGTACGACAGAAATTAATGTGTTGGTTTAGTTTCCCTGTCACTGTTTCCTAATGCTAACATTTTAGCATTCGTGGCACAAATCCCATTTGAGTCATGGGACCAATATTAGCATTTTTCGCACATCATGTCCAAAACATCCTAATATGCAAATAAGTAAAAGGTGAATGCAACAGAAGTTGTATAAGTATTTTCATATAAATTAATATAGGCATCATTGCATTATCTCTAGCCATACAATGGAAAAAATGGATAACCTACAGTGATCCCATTTTATTTAACAGTTCAGTATTTGTAGGTCTATTCTAGTATGGTGTATGGATGTGATGTTTAAAATCACTGGAAATATCGGTCTCATTACTTGAATGGGATTTGTGCCAGCTTTGGAAACACTACTAGCCACTGCCAAGGAAACTAAACCAAAGCATGGATTGCTGTCAAACCTTTTCCATAGACTGCTGACAGGGTCAGGAAACCATTGAGTTCTTTAGTCATTTGGCTGAACTATCCGTTTAAGGCAGTGTGCAGGCAAATCTGTTTTCTTAAATCACATTTTCTGCTTTTAACCTTTACTTTTATACGTTTGTAAAGCATGAAGAGTATATTGACCTGAGTTCCTCTATGTCCTGCTCCAGCTGGTCTCTCTCTCTCTCCAGTGAGAGGACAGTCCCCGCCACATCCTGGCTCTCTCTTAGTAGTTCTTCACTCTCTCTCTCTGCCCTCCTCCGCTGCTCTGTCGCTTTGCACAGCTCTGCCTGTAGACCGCTCAACTCCCCACACACTGCACTGTGCTGCACAGACAGCTGGAACACACACGTCAAGAACAATACGCAAAAAGAATCAACTGAATAGAAGCAACACAAACCCCACAGATAAAATAAAAAGACTCAATGCCACTCTCCTGTTCTCCTTCACCTCTTCCAGTCGTTTTCCATCCATCCCTCTCTCCTCCACCAGAGCGGTGATTTCTCTCTCCTTCTCCTCTCGTAGGGTCTCCACCTCACTCTCCAGGTCCCTCTCTCTGTGCCTCAGCTGCTGCAGGGAGCTCAGCTCTGATCCTCTACGAGTCCTGGACAAATACATTGATTGATAAGATGTTGATTGATTGTCACACACAGCCAGAGCTCTGAGAATACTGATGGAACTATCACGATCACCAACCAGCCCTCGCAGACAGGCGCTGAGGCAAATTAATGTTCGCATTTAGTCTTCAAAACAGATGTCATTAACATTATTTGGAACAGTTGTAATGGATTTAAGAAAGGTCTGTCTACTTTTGATGAAGTCACATAATGTCCTACCTTAACTCTGTGCTCTCATTGGACTGGGTCTTCAGCTCCCTACGAAGGGTCATGACCTTTGACTCCAGTCCCTGTAGCTGGCCCTGGAGGTCAGCCATCTCCATCTCAAGCTTGTGGGGGAGAAGAACAGGTCATTCTCTCTGGGTCTAGAGTAGTTGTCTGAGACAGCTTAGCAGCATATTTAGCAGGGTATTTATTTATTTTGAACATTTGACAGGGCAGTGGACAAGAGTGGGACAGTGGACAAGAGTGGGACAGTGGACAAGAGTGGGACAGTGGACAAGAGTGGGACAGTGGACAAGAGTGGGGCAGTGGACAAGAGTGGGACAGTGGACAAGAGTGGGACAGTGGACAAGAGTGGGACAGTGGACAAGAGTGGACAGTGGACAAGAGTGGGGCAGTGGACAAGAGTGGGACAGTGGACAAGAGTGGGACAGTGGACAAGAGTGGGTCAGTGGACAAGATGGGAACAGTGGACAAAGTTGGACAGTGGACAAGAGTTGGGACAGTGACAAGATGGGACATTTAGAAATGTTCAACATCGTGTTGAAAGTGCACAAAGCACTGGGTGTTAGGGTTATGATACCTTGATAGCCTGGTGTTGGGGTTATGATCCCTGTATAGCCTGGGTGTGGGGTTAATGTCATCCTTGAGCCTGGGTGTTGGGGTTAATGTATACTGTATAGCGGGGTAGGGTTAATTATTTGACTTTACTGGGTGCGTGGGTTATGTAACTGTATAGCCTGGGTTTAGGGGTTAATGTATACCTGTATAGCCTGGGTGTTAGGGTTAATGTATACCTGTATAGCCTGGGTGTTGGGGTTAATGTATACCTGTATAGCCTGGGTGTTAGGGTTAATGTATACCTGTATAGCCTGGGCGTTGAGCTCTCTCTTGTCCTTGGCTAGGGCTTCGTTTAAGGCAGCCATCTTCTCTAGGGCATCACGGTGCTCTGACACTTCTCTCTTCAGAAGGGTCTGACCGGATGACAGGGTTAAGACTGACTCACGGGCCTGGAGGGAAGCAAAGGGAGGAATGAGGGAGGAGACCGAGGGGAGAGAGAGGCGAGAGATGGAGGAGAGAGGAAGGAGGAGAGGAAGGAGGAGAGGAAGGAGGGATGTGAGTAGCAAGACTACCAGTGGGAAAGGCAACATTTCCACAGGGGTCCTGAGGGAAGAAGATGAGAGCTGCTCTTCTGCTCTAGTCTTCACCTTCATCATTTGTGCTGAAGAAACAACGCCATGACAAAGAGACAGAACAGAACAGCATGAAAGCTAGCATGTGCAGTAGAAGCAAGCGTTAGCATCAAAGGGGATTTGCATCGCAGTGCTAGCTGTGCCACTAGAGATCCTGGTTCGAATCCAGGCTCTGTCGTAGCCGGCCACGACCGGGAGACTCATGGGCGGCGCACAATTGGCCCAGCGTCGTCCAGGGTAGGGGAGGGAATGGCCGGCAGGGACGTAGCTCAGTTGGTAGAGCATGGCGTTTGCAACGCCAGGGTTGTGGGTTCGATTCCCATGGGGGGCCAGTATAAAAAATGTAATGTATGCACTCACTAACTGTAAGTCGCTCTGGATAAGAGCGTCTGCTAAATGACTAAAATGTAAATGTAAATGTAATATTATAGGGTGGCCCGCCACTCTGCCCAGAGTGGGAGAAAACATTTCAGTTCCTTATGTAATAAAACACATTTTACCAAGACAAATATGATTCTTCATGTTCTGAATCGTTCAGTGGGGTCTTTCTCGAACATCATTCACATTATATCCAAAAAGTCGGATTTCGTAACCTATTACATCCGATAATAAGCTCTGCTGACAGTAACTTTTGATGATTTTAGATGTTGTGGTCGTCGTCTGCAAAGTTGTTTCCGCGGGTCGCAAAAAGCTAAATTAGCATGACAGAAGCTGGATTAAATAGAAAAGGCTTTGAAATAAAAAGCTTGGGGTACACTCTTGAGCTACATTGACATTTCAGAGATACGCTTATATTTGTGAGAAATCTTCGAAAACAATCAGGAATGACGCATTAATATGAAAGGTGTATACTAAAATATGAAAATACTACATGTCATGTCTCAAAATCGATATCTGTCTTAGCTCTACATTTTATGTCCTTTGGGTTTGAGTAGAAACATGAGGAGTTCAGCGGTGAGCCTGGATGAGCCTGGAGCCTGTCAGTTAGCCATTCTCTCCCAGCATCCAGCCCAGCTGACGCCATGCTAGTTTCCTGTCAGTTAGCCATTCTCTCCCAGCATCCAGCCCAGCTGACGCCATGCTAGTTTCCTGTCAGTTAGCCATTCTCTCCCAGCATCCAGCCCAGCTGACGCCATGCTAGTTTCCTGTCAGTTTAGCCATTCTCTCCCAGCATCCAGCCCAGCTGACGCCATGCTAGTTTCCTGTCAAGTTAGCCATTCTCTCCCAGCATCCAGCCCAGCTGACGCCATGCTAGTTTCATGTCAGTTTAGCCATTCTCTCCCAGCATCCAGCCCAGCTGACGCCATGCTAGTTTCCTGTCAGTTAGCCATTCTCTCCCAGCATCCAGCCCAGCTGACGCCATGCTAGTTTCCTGTCAGTTAGCCATTCTCTCCCAGCATCCAGCCCAGCTGACGCCATGCTAGTTTCCTGTCAGTTAGCCATTCTCTCCCAGCATCCAGCCCAGCTGACGCCATGCTAGTTTCCTGTCAGTTAGCCATTCTCTCCCAGCATCCAGCCCAGCTGACGCCATGCTAGTTTCCTGTCAGTTAGCCTTATCTCTCCCAGCATCCCAGCCCAGCTGACGCCATGCTAGTTTCCTGTCAGTTAGCCATTCTCTCCCAGCATCCAGCCCAGCTGACGCCATGCTAGTTTCCTGTCAGTTAGCCTTCTCTCACCAGCATCCAGCCCAGCTGGACGCCATGCTAGTTTCCTGTCAGTTAGCCATTCTCTCCCAGCATCCCAGCCCAGCTGACGCCATGCTAGTTTTCCTGTCAGTTAGCCATTCTCTCCCAGCATCCATCCCAGCTGACGCATGCTAGTTTCTGTCAGTTAGCCATTCTCTCCCAGCATCCAGCCCAGCTGACGCCATGCTAGTTTCCTGTCAGTTAGCCATTCTCTCCCAGCATCCAGCCCAGCTGACGCCATGCTATTTTCTTAATTTTTGCCCACTTTTTTTCTCTGTCCTCCATTGGTTTACTCACACTAATTCTAGTCATCCTATATGGGAATAAACTCTAGTAACTTTGAACGGATAGAGACATGAGGTTTGGTCCATTGGTTTTCTTGGAGGAGTATCTACACAATTAACACCTTATTTTACCCATTGGTCAAAAGATGCGTGTTTGACTGGACACCCTACAACATAATACTCTATTTTCAATATGAAACGATGCATGTAGTTTGCAGGCTTTAACGGGTGAGCGATCACGATCATGTAAACAAAGGCAGACAAATACAACGAGCATGTGTCAGATCCAATCTAAGACTCAAGAGGTTAGAGGTCAGAGATGATAGCTGTACCTTGCTTAGAGCATTCTTAACATCAGCAGCTTCCTCTTCTGCCCTCTCCCTGTCCAGCTGTTCTCTCTGCAGCGCCCCCTGTAGGGCATGCAGCTCCATGCGGATACGAGCCTCACGCTCACTGAGATGGGCACTCTCTACCAGGTCAGCCTCCAATCTGTCAATCAAATCAATCAATCAAATGGTTTGTAAAGCCCTTGTTACATCAACAGTTGACTTTACAGTGACCTGGAGTAGGTACCGTCTCTGCCTCTCACTCTCCAGCTCCTTCCTCTCTTCCACCTCCCTCTCTCTCTCCCGTCTCAGTCGTTCGTTCTCCTTCCTTCTCTCCTCACTCCGTCTCTCTTCTTCCTCCAGCTGGCTCCTCAGGGAGCCCACCATCTCTCTCTCACTGACACAGCAACAGCAACATAGATGGGTGAATCTCCAGCGTTTTTCCAGTCAACTATACGTGGAGAACACAGAGCCTGGTCCCACATCTGTTTGTGCGGTCTTTCCAACTCCTCTGGGACAATGACCAGGAGTTGGCAAGACAGCACAAACAGATCCGGGACCAGGCTAGAGAGAACACAAGACATCCTGCAGAACAGAAGTAGGAACAGGTTATTATTGTAAAATATATATTATTCTCAACAACCCACCTGGCTAAATTCAGGTTTAAATAAGCAGGCTTCCTCCTCCTCACCCGAGACCTGAGCAACACGTCCAGTGTGTCTTACCTGATCAACGTGTCTTACCTGAGCAACGTGTCTTACCTGAGCAACACGTCCAGTGTGTCTTACCTGAGCAACGTGTCTTACCTGAGCAACACGTCCAGTGTGTGTTACCTGAGCAACACGTCCAGTGTGTGTTACCTGAGCAACACGTCCAGTGTGTCTTACCTGAGCAACACGTCCAGTGTGTCTTACCTGAGCAACATGTGTGTTACCTGAGCAACACGTCCAGTGTGTGTTACCTGAGCAACGTGTCTTACCTGAGCAACGTGTCTTACCTGAGCAACACGTCCAGTGTGTCTTACCTGAGCAACGTGTCTTACCTGAGCAACACGTCCAGTGTGTGTTACCTGAGCAACATGTCCAGTGTGTCTTACCTGAGCAACATGTGTGTTACCTGAGCAACACGTCCAGTGTGTGTTACCTGAGCAACACGTCCAGTGTGTGTTACCTGAGCAACACGTCCAGTGTGTCTTACCTGAGCAACACGTCCAGTGTGTCTTACCTGAGCAACATGTGTGTTACCTGAGCAACACGTCCAGTGTGTGTTACCTGAGCAACGTGTCTTACCTGAGCAACGTGTCTTACCTGAGCAACACGTCCAGTGTGTCTTACCTGAGCAACGTGTCTTACCTGAGCAACACGTCCAGTGTGTCTTACCTGAGCAACGTGTCTTACCTGAGCAACACGTCCAGTGTGTGTTACCTGAGCAACACGTCCAGTGTGTGTTACCTGAGCAACACGTCCAGTGTGTCTTACCTGAGCAACACGTCCAGTGTGTCTTACCTGAGCAACATGTGTGTTACCTGAGCAACACGTCCAGTGTGTGTTACCTGAGCAACGTGTCTTACCTGAGCAACGTGTCTTACCTGAGCAACACGTCCAGTGTGTCTTACCTGAGCAACGTGTCTTACCTGAGCAACACGTCCAGTGTGTCTTACCTGAGCAACGTGTCTTACCTGAGCAACGTGTCTTACCTGAGCAACACGTCCAGTGTGTCTTACCTGAGCAACACGTCCAGTGTGTCTTACCTGAGCAACGTGTCTTACCTGAGCAACGTGTCTTACCTGAGCAACACGTCCAGTGTGTGTTACCTGAGCAACACGTCCAGTGTGTCTTACCTGAGCAACACGTCCTGTGTGTGTTACCTGAGCAACATGTCCTGTGTGTGTTACCTGAGCAACATGTCCTGTGTGTGTTACCTGAGCAACATGTCCTGTGTGTGTGTGAGCTCCTGTCCTCCATGCAGGCTCTGTGTCTGCCTCTCCTCTGTGTCTGTCTCCAGCTGTCTGACTCTCTGTTCCAGCGCCGCTCTCTCCTCACCCAGCCTCCGCAGGCTAGCCGCAGCATCCTGAAGGGAAGCGGGAGATGAGACATGGACACTGGTGGCTTGTTTGGACTTAACTAGATCATGCAGAAACAGATATAGATATCTTCTCTACCCAGGGGGGAAAAATGGGTTGAAATGACAACATTAGAACACGCTTGGCCTGCTGGGTAGAGTCTGTCTTCAAACAGCCTATTAGAACAGTGGATCTGATGCATGTCTTCAACAGACCTGTACTTCCTGGTGCCGCCACAGCAGGGTGGTCTCAGCCTGGGCCAATACATCCAGCACCTGGGTTAGCCCTGTAGTGGTCTCAGCCTGGGCCAATACATCCAGCACCTGGGTTAGCCCTGTAGTGGTCTCAGCCTGGGCCAATACATCCAACACCTGGGTTAGCCCTGTAGTCAACCGGTCTGGTCCTGACCCATCGCTGGACAGACACAGAGTAGGGCTACTGCTACTCTGGGAGAACAGAACCTTGGACTAGACACGGGAAACAACAACAGAATATCATTAAACAGGCTATATAATGGACCAATACAGTGGGCTGGGGGATGTGTTCATTTCTATGTGGTGCATTCGGAAAGTATTCAGACCCCTTGACTTTTTCCACATTTTGTTACGTTACAGCCTTATTCTAAAATGGATTAAATACATTTTATTCCTCATCTATCTACACACAATATCCCATAATGACAAAGCGAAAACAGGTTTTTATAAATTTTAGCAAATGTATTAAAAATAAAAACAGAAATACCTTATTTAAATAAGTATTCAGATCCTTTGCTATGAGACTCGAAATTGAGCTCAGGTGCCTCCTGTTCCCATTGATCATTCTTGAGATGTTTCTACAACTTGATTTGGAGTCCACCTGTGGTAAATTCAATTGATTGGACATGATTTGGAAAGGCACACACCTGTCTCTATAAGGTCCCACAGTTGACAGTGCATGTCAGAGCAAAAACCAAGCCATGAGGTTGAAGGAATTGTCCGTAGAGCTCCGAGACAGGATTGTGTCGAGGCACAGATTTGGGGAAGGGTACCACAAAATGTCTGCAGCATTGAAGGTCCCCAAGAACACTGTGGCCTCCATCATTCTTAAATGGAAGAAGTTTGGAACCACCAAGACTCTTCCTAGAGCTGGCCGTCCGGCCAAACTGAGCAATCGGGGGAGAAGGGCCTTGGTCAGGGAGGTGACCAAGAACCCGATGGTCACTCTGACCGGAGGTTCACCTTCCAACTGGACAACGACCCTATGTCACAGCCAAGATGACGCAGGAGTGGCTTCGAGACAAGTCTCTGAATGTTGAAAACAGTTTTCTGCCCCTCCCAAAAAATAGAATTTGTAGATAATTGGCTCTCTTTCTGGGACTCACCCACAACAGGACCAAGCCTGGCCTGCTTAGGAGTGATGGACTCCCATCCTAGCTGGAGGGGTGTCTACAGGACAAGCCTGGCCTGCTGGGGTGACAGACTCCATCCTAGCTGGGAGGGTTGCTACAGGACCAATCCTGGCCTGCTGAGAGTGACGGACTCCATCCAGCTGGAGGGGTGTTACAGGACCAAGCTGGCCTGCTGAGGATTGACGGACTCCATCCTACTGGAAGGGGTGCTACAGGACCAAGCCTGGCCTGCTGTGAAGTGACGGCTCCAATCCTAGCGGGATGGGTGTACAGGACCAAGCCGGGCCTGCTGAGAGTGATGGACGCCATCCTAAGCGTTAGGGTGCTACCAAGACCAAGCCTGGCCTGCTGGGAGTGATGGACTTCATCCTAGCTGGAGGGTGCTAACATGACAAGTGGCCTGCTGAGGGAGTGACCGGACTCCATCCTAGCCAGGATGGGGCTGTTACAGGACCAAGCCTGGCCTGCTGAGGAGTGATGGACTCCATCCTAGCCTGAGGGGTGTTTACAGGACCAAGCCTGGCCTGCTGGGAGTGATGGACTCCATCCTAGCTGGAGGGGTGCTACAGGACCAAGCCTGGCCTGCTGAGGAGTGATGGACTCCAATCCTAGCTGGAGGGGTGCTACAGGACCAAGCCTGGCCTGCTGAGGAGTGATGGACTCCATCCTAGATGGAGGGGTTGCTACAGGACCAAGCCTGGCCTGCTGAGGAGTGATGGACTCCATCCTAGATGGAGGGGTGTTACAGGACCAAGCCTGGCCTGCTGAGGAGTGATGGGACTCATCCGTAGCTGGAGGGGTGTTACAGGACCAAGCCTGGCCTGCTGAGGAGTGATGGGCCCCTGGAGGGGTTGCTACAGGACCAAGGCCTGGCCTGCTAAGGAGTGACGGACTCCATCCTAGCTGGAGGGGTGCTACAGGACCAAGCCTGGCCTGCTGAGGAGTGATGGACCCTGGAGGGGGTGTTACAGGACCAAGCCTGGCCTGCTGAGGAGTGACGGACTCCATCCTATCTGGAAGGGTGTTACCAGGACCAAGCCTGGCCTGCTGAGGAGTGATGGACTCCATCCTAGCTGGAGGGGTGCTACAGGACCAAGCCTGGCCTGCTGAGGAGTGATGGACTCCATCCTAGCTGGAGGGGTGTTACAGGACCAAGCCTGGCCTGCTGAGGAGTGATGGACCCTGGAGGGGTGCTACAGGACCAAGCCTGGCCTGCTGAGGAGTGATGGACTCCATCCTAGCTGGAGGGGTGTTACAGGACCAAGCCTGGCCTGCTGAGGAGTGATGGACTCCATCCTAGCTGGAGGGGTGCTACAGGACCAAGCCTGGCCTGCTGAGGAGTGATGGACTCCATCCTAGCTGGAGGGGTGCTACAGGACCAAGCCTGGCCTGCTGAGGAGTGACGGACTCCATCCTAGCTGGAGGGGTGCTACAGGACCAAGCCTGGCCTGCTGAGGAGTGATGGACTCCATCCTAGCTGGAGGGGTGTTACAGGACCAAGCCTGGCCTGCTGAGGAGTGATGGACTCCATCCTAGATGGAGGGGTGCTACAGGACCAAGCCTGGCCTGCTGAGGAGTGATGGACTCCATCCTAGATGGAGGGGTGCTACAGGACCAAGCCTGGCCTGCTGAGGAGTGATGGACTCCATCCTAGATGGAGGGGTGTTACAGGACCAAGCCTGGCCTGCTGAGGAGTGACGGACTCCATCCTAGCTGGAGGGGTGCTACAGGACCAAGCCTGGCCTGCTGAGGAGTGATGGACTCCATCCTAGCTGGAGGGGTGCTACAGGACCAAGCCTGGCCTGCTGAGGAGTGATGGACTCCATCCTAGCTGGAGGGGTGTTACAGGACCAAGCCTGGCCTGCTGAGGAGTGATGGACCCTGGAGGGGTGCTACAGGACCAAGCCTGGCCTGCTAAGGAGTGACGGACTCCATCCTAGCTGGAGGGGTGCTACAGGACCAAGCCTGGCCTGCTGAGGAGTGATGGACCCTGGAGGGGTGTTACAGGACCAAGCCTGGCCTGCTGAGGAGTGACGGACTCCATCCTATCTGGAAGGGTGTTACAGGACCAAGCCTGGCCTGCTGAGGAGTGATGGACTCCATCCTAGCTGGAGGGGTGCTACAGGACCAAGCCTGGCCTGCTGAGGAGTGATGGACTCCATCCTAGCTGGAGGGGTGTTACAGGACCAAGCCTGGCCTGCTGAGGAGTGATGGACCCTGGAGGGGTGCTACAGGACCAAGCCTGGCCTGCTAAGGAGTGACGGACTCCATCCTAGCTGGAGGGGTGCTACAGGACCAAGCCTGGCCTGCTGAGGAGTGATGGACTCCATCCTAGCTGGAGGGGTGCTACAGGACCAAGCCTGGCCTGCTGAGGAGTGACGGACTCCATCCTAGATGGAGGGGTGTTACAGGACCAAGCCTGGCCTGCTGAGGAGTGATGGACTCCATCCTAGCTGGAGGGGTGCTACAGGACCAAGCTTGGCCTGCTGAGGAGTGATGGACTCCATCCTAGATGGAGGGGTGCTACAGGACCAAGCCTGGCCTGCTGAGGAGTGATGGACTCCATCATAGCTGGAGGGGTGCTACAGGACCAAGCCTGGCCTGCTGAGGAGTGATGGACTCCATCCTAGCTGGAGGGGTGCTACAGGACCAAGCCTGGCCTGCTGAGGAGTGATGGACTCCATCCTAGCTGGAGGGGTGCTACAGGACCAAGCCTGGCCTGCTGAGGAGTGATGGACTCCATCCTAGCTGGAGGGGTGCTACAGGACCAAGCCTGGCCTGCTGAGGAGTGATGGACCCTGGAGGGGTGCTACAGGACCAAGCCTGGCCTGCTAAGGAGTGATGGACTCCATCCTAGCTGGAGGGGTGCTACAGGACCAAGCCTGGCCTGCTTGAGGAGTGACGGGACTCCATCCTAGCTGGAGGGGTGCTACAGGACCAATCCTGGCCTGCTGAGGAGTGATGGACCCTGGAGGGGTGAGGGGGGTTCTACAGGACCAAGCCTGGCCTGCTGAGGAGTGACGGACTCCATCCTAGATGGAGGGGTGTTACAGGACCAAGCCTGGCCTGCTGAGGAGTGATGGACTCCATCCTAGCTGGAGGGGTGCTACAGGACCAAGCCTGGCCTGCTGAGGAGTGATGGACTCCATCCTAGCTGGAGGGGTGCTACAGGAACCAAGCCTGGCCTGCTGAGGAGTGATGGACTCCATCCTAGCTGGAGGGGTGTTACAGGACCAAGCCTGGCCTGCTGAGGAGTGATGGACTCCATCCTAGCTGGAGGGGTGCTACAGGACCAAGCCTGGCCTGCTGAGGAGTGATGGACTCCATCCTAGCTGGAGGGGTGTTACAGGACCAAGCCTGGCCTGCTGAGGAGTGATGGACTCCATCCTAGCTGGAGGGGTGCTCTCATCTTATCTACCAACATAGACAGGGCTCTAACTCCTCTAGCTCCACAATGAGACAGGGTGCAGGCCAGGCAGCAGGCTGTTAGCCTCCCCAATGAGACAGGGTGCAGGCCAGGCAGCAGGCTGTTAGCCTCCCCAATGAGACAGGGTGCAGGCCAGACAGCAGGCTGTTAGCCAGCCCAATGAGACAGGGTGCAGGCCAGGCAGCAGGCTGTTAGCCTCCCCAATGAGACAGGGTGCAGGCCAGGCAGCAGGCTGTTAGCCAGCCCAATGAGACAGGGTGCAGGCCAGGCAGCAGGCTGTTAGCCAGCCCAATGAGACAGGGTGCAGGCCAGGCAGCAGGCTGTTAGCCTCCCCAATGAGACAGGGTGCAGGCCAGGCAGCAGGCTGTTAGCCTCCCCAATGAGACAGGGTGCAGGCCAGGCAGCAGGCTGTTAGCCAGCCCAATGAGACAGGGTGCAGGCCAGGCAGCAGGCTGTTAGCCTCCCCAATGAGACAGGGTGCAGGCCAGGCAGCAGGCTGTTAGCCAGCCCAATGAGACAGGGTGCAGGCCAGGCAGCAGGCTGTTAGCCTCCCCAATGAGACAGGGTGCAGGCCAGGCAGCAGGCTGTTAGCCAGCCCAATGAGACAGGGTGCAGGCCAGGCAGCAGGCTGTTAGCCAGCCCAATGAGACAGGGTGCAGGCCAGGCAGCAGGCTGTTAGCCAGCCCAATGAGACAGGGTGCAGGCCAGGCAGCAGGCTGTTAGCCAGCCCAATGAGACAGGGTGCAGGCCAGGCAGCAGGCTGTTAGCCAGCCCAATGAGACAGGGTGCAGGCCAGGCAGCAGGCTGTTAGCCAGCCCAATGAGACAGGGTGCAGGCCAGGCAGCAGGCTGTTAGCCAGCCCAATGAGACAGGGGTGCAGGCCAGGCAGCAGGCTGTTAGCCTCCCCAATGAGACAGGGTGCAGGCCAGGCAGCAGGCTGTTAGCCTCCCCAATGAGACAGGGTGGCAGGCCAGGCAGCAGGCTGTTAGCCAGCCCAATGAGACAGGGTGCAGGCCAGCAGCAGGCTGTTAGCCTCCCCAATGAGACAGGGTGCAGGCCAGGCAGCAGGCTGTTAGCCAGCCCAATGAGACAGGGTGCAGGCCAGGCAGCAGGCTGTTAGCCTCCCCAATGAGACAGGGTGCAGGCCAGGCAGCAGGCTGTTAGCCAGCCCAATGAGACAGGGTGCAGGCCAGGCAGCAGGCTGTTAGCCAGCCCAATGAGACAGGGTTCAGGCCAGGCAGCAGGCTGTTAGCCTCCCCAATGAGACAGGGTGCAGGCCAGGCAGCAGGCTGTTAGCCTCCCCAATGAGACAGGGTGCAGGCCAGGCAGCAGGCTGTTAGCCTCCACAATGAGACAGGGTGCAGGCCAGGCAGCAGGCTGTTAGCCTCCCCAATGAGACAGGGTGCAGGCCAGGCAGCAGGCTGTTAGCCAGCCCAATGAGACAGGGTGCAGGCCAGGCAGCAGGCTGTTAGCCAGCCCAATGAGACAGGGTGCAGGCCAGGCAGCAGGCTGTTAGCCAGCCCAATGAGACAGGGTGCAGGCCAGGCAGCAGGCTGTTAGCCAGCCCCAATGAGACAGGGTGCAGGCCAGGCAGCAGGCTGTTAGCCAGCCCAATGAGACAGGGTGCAGGCAAGGCAGCAGGCTGTTAGCCAGCCCAATGAGACAGGGTGCAGGCCAGGCAGCAGGCTGTTAGCCAGCCCAATGAGACAGGGTGCAGGCCAGGCAGCAGGCTGTTAGCCAGCCCAATGATACAGGGTGCAGGCCAGGCAGCAGGCTGTTAGCCAGCCGGCCAGCTTAGTGGAGTCTGCCACTAGCACAGTCAGGGTAGTCAGCTCAGCTATCCCCATTGAGACCGTGTCTGTGCCATGCTGGTGTTTGCCTTAGCAATCTCACTGGAATAAAGACCTCCTCCATTCCTGTCATTATTGAAAGAGATTGTGATATCTCACATCTCAAAATAGGGCTACTTAATGTTAGATCCCTCACTTCCAAGGCAGTTATGGTCAATGAACTAATCACTGATCCGAATCTTGATATGATTGGCCTGACTGAAACATGGCTTAAGCCTGATGAATTTACTGTGTTAAATGAGGCCTCTCCTCCTGGTTACACTAGTGACCATATCCCCCTCGCATCCCGCAAAGTCGGAGGTGTTGTTAACATTTATGATGGCAAATGTCAATTTACCCCCCTGGGCCGTATACAGAGTTCCTCACTGAGTTCCCTGAATTCCTATAGGACCTTGTAGTCATGGCAGATAATATTCTAATTTTTGGTGACTTTAATATTCACATGGAGAAGTCAACAGACCCACTCCAAAAGGCTTTCGGAGCCATCATCGACTCAGTGGGTTCTGTCCAACATGTCTCCGGACCTACTCATTGCCACAGTCATACCTTGGATCTAGTTTTGTCCCGTGGAATAAATATTGTGGATCTAAATATTTTTCCTCATAATCCTGGACTATCGGACCACCATCTTATTACCACACACACTAACTGTAAGTCGCTCTGGATAAGAGCGTCTGCTAAATGACTAAAATGTAAAAATGTAAATGTTTGCAATCGCAACAAATATTCTGCTCAGACCCCAACCAAGGACCATCATAAGCCGTGCTATAAATCCTTGGACAACCCAAAGGTCCCTAGAGGCCCTTCCAGACTCCCTCCACCTACTCAAGGACGTCAGAGTACAAACATCAGTTAACCACCTAACTGAGGATCTAAATGTAACCTTGCGTAATACCCTAGATGCAGTCGCACCCCTAAAAACAAAAAACATTTGTCACAAGAAACTAGCTCCCTGGTATACAGAGAATACCCGAGCCCTGAAGCAAGCCTCCAGAAAATTGGAACGGAAATGGCGCTCCACCAAACTGGAAGTCTTCCTACTAGCTTGGATAGACAGTACAGAGCAATATCAAAGAGCCCTCACTGCTGCTCGATCAGCCTATTTTTCCAACCTATTTGAGGACAATAAGAACAGGTCTCTGGAGAGACTGGGAGACTAGTCAGGATCTGGATCATCTCTGGAGAGACTGGGAGACTAGTCAGGATCTGGATCATCTCTGGAGAGACTGGGAGACTAGTCAGGATCTGGATCATCTCTGGAGAGACTGGGAGACTAGTCAGGATCTGGATCATCTCTGGAGAGACTGGGAGACTAGTCAGGATCTGGATCATCTCTGGAGAGGCTGGGAGACTAGTCAGGATCTGGGTAATCTCTGGAGAGACTGGGAGACTAGTCAGGATCTGGATCATCTCTGTAGAGACTGGGAGACTAGTCAGGATCTGGATCATCTCTGGAGAGACTGGGAGACTAGTCAGGATCTGGATCATCTCTGGAGAGACTGGGAGACTAGTCAGGATCTGGATCATCTCTGGAGAGGCTGGGAGACTAGTCAGGATCTGGGTAATCTCTGGAGAGACTGGGAGACTAGTCAGGATCTGGATCATCTCTGGAGAGACTGGGAGACTAGTCAGGATCTGGATCATCTCTGGAGAGACTGGGAGACGAGTCGGATCTGGATCATCTCTGGAGAGACTGGGAGACTAGTCAGGATCTGGATCATCTCTGGAGAGACTGGGAGACTAGTCAGGATCTGGATCATCTCTGGAGAGACTGGGAGACTAGTCAGGATCTGGATCATCTCTGGAGAGACTGGGAGACTAGTCAGGATCTGGATCATATCTGGAGAGACTGGGAGACTAGTCAGGATCTGGATCATCTCTGGAGAGACTGGGAGACTAGTCAGGATCTGGGTAATCTCTGGAGAGACTGGGAGACTAGTCAGGATCTGGATCATCTCTGGAGAGACTGGGAGACTAGTCAGGATCTGGATCATCTCTGGAGAGACTGGGAGACTAGTCAGGATCTGGATCATCTCTGGAGAGACTGGGAGACTAGTCAGGATCTGGATCATCTCTGGAGAGACTGGGAGACTAGTCAGGATCTGGATCATCTCTGGAGAGACTGGGAGACTAGTCAGGATCTGGATCATCTCTGGAGAGACTGGGAGACTAGTCAGGATCTGGATCATCTCTGGAGAGACTGGGAGACTAGTCAGGATCTGGATAATCTCTGGAGAGACTGGGAGACTAGTCAGGATCTGGATCATCTCTGGAGAGACTGGGAGACTAGTCAGGATCTGGATCATCTCTGAAGAGACTGGGAGACTAGTCAGGATCTGGATCATCTCTTGAGAGACTGGGAGACTAGTCAGGATCTGGATCATCTCTGGAGAGACTGGGAGACTAGTCAGATCTGGATCATCTCTGGAGAGACTGGGAGACTAGTCAGGATCTGGATCATCTCTGAGAGACCTGGGAGACTAGTCAGGATCTGGATCATCTCTGGAGAGGACTGGGAGACTAGTCAGGATCTTGGATCATCTCTGGAGAGATCTGGGAGACTAGTCAGGGGATCATGGGATAATCTCTAGGGAGGAGCCTGGGAGACTAGTCAGGCTCTGGATCATCTCTGGGAGAGACGGGGGAGCACTAGTCAGGATCATTCTCTGGAGAGACCTGGGAGACTAGTCCAGGATCTGGATCATCTCTGGAGAGACTGGGAGACTAGTTCAGGATCTGGATCATCTCTGGAGAGACTGGGAGACTAGTCAGGATCTGGATCATCTCTGGAGAGACTGGGAGACTAGTCAGGATCTGGATCATCTCTGGAGACTGGGAGACTAGTCAGGATCTGGATCATCTCTGGAGAGACTGGGAGACTAGTCAGGATCTGGATCATCTCTGGAGAGGACTGGAGACTAGTCAGGATCTGGATCATCTCTGGAGAGACTGGGAGACTAGTCAGGATCTGGATCATCTCTGGAGAGACTGGGAGACTAGTCAGGATCTGGATCATCTCTGGAGAGACTGGGAGACTAGTCAGGATCTGGATCATCTCTGGAGAGACTGGGAGACTAGTCAGGATCTGGATCATCTCTGGAGAGACTGGGAGACTAGTCAGGATCTGGATCATCTCTGGAGAGACTGGGAGACTAGTCAGGATCTGGGATCATCTCTGGAGAGACTGGGAGACTAGTCAGGATCTGGATCATCTCTGGAGAGACTGGGAGACTAGTCAGGATCTGGATCATCTCTGAGAGGACTGGGAGACTAGTCAGGATCTGGATCATCTCTGGAGAGGCTGGGAGACTAGTCAGGATCTGGATCATCTCTGGAGAGACTGGGAGACTAGTCAGGATCTGGATCATCTCTGGAGAGACTGGGAGACTAGTCAGGATCTGGATCATCTGGAGGACTGGACTAGTCAGGATCTGGATCATCTCTGGAGAGACTGGGAGACTAGTCAGGATCTGGATCATCTCTGGAGAGACTGGGAGACTAGTCAGGATCTGGATCATCTCTGGAGAGACTGGGAGACTAGTCAGGATCTGGGATCATCTCTGGAGAGACTGGGAGACTAGTCAGGATCTGGATCATCTCTGGAGAGACTGGGAGACTAGTCAGGATCTGGATCATCTCTGGAGAGACTGGGAGACTAGTCAGGATCTGGATCATCTCTGGAGAGACTGGGAGACTAGTCAGGATCTGGATCATCTCTGGAGAGACTGGGAGACTAGTCAGGATCTGGATCATCTCTGGAGAGACTGGGGAGACTAGTCAGGATCTGGATCATCTCTGGAGAGACTGGGAGACTAGTCAGGATCTGGATCATCTCTGGAGAGACTGGAGACTAGTCAGATCTGGATCATCTCTGGAGAGACTGGGAGACTAGTCAGGATCTGGATCATCTCTGGAGAGACTGGGAGACTAGTCAGGATCTGGATCATCTCTGGAGAGACTGGGAGACTAGTCAGGATATGGATAATCTCTGGAGAGACTGGGAGACTAGTCAGGATCTGGATCATCTCTGGAGAGACTGGGAGACTAGTCAGGATCATCTCTGGAGAGACTGGGAGACTAGTCAGGATCTGGATCATCTCTGGAGAGACTGGGAGACTAGTCAGGATCTGGATCATCTCTGGAGAGACTGGGAGACTAGTCAGGATCTGGATCATCTCTGGAGAGACTGGGAGACTAGTCAGGATCTGGATCATCTCTGGAGAGACTGGGAGACTAGTCAGGATCTGGATCATCTCTGGAGACTGGGAGACAGTCGGATCTGGATCATCTCTGGAGAGACTGGGAGACTGTCAGGATCTGGATCATCTCTGGAGAGATGGGAGACTAGTCAGATCTGGATCATCTTGGAGAGACTGGGAGACTAGTCAGGATCTGGATCATCTCTGAGAGACTGGGAGATAGTTCGGATCTGGATCATCTCTGGAGAGACTGGGAGACTAGTCAGGATCTGGATCATCTCTGGAGAGGCTGGGAGACTAGTCAGGATCTGGATCATCTCTGAGAGACTGGGAGCTAGTCAGGATCTGGATCATTTGGAGAGACTGGGAGACTAGTCAGGATCTGGATCATCTCTGGAGAGACTGGGAGACTAGTCAGGATCTGGATCATCTCTGGAGAGACTGGGAGACTAGTCAGGATCTGGATCATCTCTGGAGAGACTGGGAGACTAGTCAGGATCTGGATCATCTCTGGAGAGACTGGAGACTAGTCAGGATCTGGATCATCTCTCTGGAGAGACTGGGAGACTAGTCAGGATCTGGATCATCTCTGGAGAGACTGGGAGACTAGTCAGGATCTGGATCATCTCTGGAGAGACTGGGAGACTAGTCAGGATCTGGATCATCTCTGGAGAGACTGGGAGACTAGTCAGGATCTGGATCATCTCTGGAGAGACTGGGAGACTAGTCAGGATCTGGATCATCTCTGGAGAGACTGGGAGACTAGTCAGGATCTGGATCATCTCTGGAGAGGCTGGGAGACTAGTCAGGATCTGGATCAATCTCTGGAGAGGCTGGAGACTAGTCAGGATCTGGATCATCTCTGGAGAGACTGGGGAGACTAGTCAGGATCTGGATCATCTCTGGAGAGACTGGGAGACTAGTCAGGATCTGGATCATCTCTGGAGAGACTGGGAGACTAGTCAGGATCTGGATCATCTCTGGAGAGACTGGGAGACTATCAGGATCTGGATCATCTCTGGAGAGACTGGGAGACTAGTCAGGATCTGGATCATCTCTGGAGAGACTGGGAGACTAGTCAGGATCTGGATCATCTCTGGAGAGACTGGGAGACTAGTCAGGATCTGTATCATCTCTGGAGAGACTGGGAGACTAGTCAGGATCTGGATCATCTCTGGAGAGACTGGGAGACTAGTCAGGATCTGGATCATCTCTGGAGAGACTGGGAGACTAGTCAGGATCTGGATCATATCTGGAGAGACTGGGAGACTAGTCAGGATCTGGATCATCTCTGGAGAGACTGGGAGACTAGTCAGGATCTGGATCATCTCTGGAGAGACTGGGAGACTTGTCAGGATCTGGATCATCTCTGGAGAGACTGGGAGACTAGTCAGGATCTGGATCATCTCTGGAGAGGCTGGGAGACTAGTCAGGATCTGGATCATCTCTGGAGAGACCTGAAAATAGCTGTGCAGCGACGCTCCCCATCCAACCTGACAGAGCTTGAGAGGATCTGCAGAGAAGAATAGGAGAAACTCCCCAAATACAGGTGTGCCAAACTTGTAGCGTCATACCCAAGAAGACTCAAGGCTGTAATCTCTGCCAAAGGTGCTTCAACAAAGTACTTAGTAAAGGGTCTGAATACTTATGTAAATATGATATTTCAGGTGATTTTCTTTATAAATTTGCAAAACTTTCTAAAAACCTGTTTTTGCTTTGTCATTATGGGCTATTGTGTGTAGATTGATGAGGGGGGGAAATGATTAAATCCATTTTAGAAGTAAGGCTGTAACGTAACAAAATGTGGAAAAAGTCAAGGGGTCTGAATACTTTCCGAAGGCACTGTATTTTCTGATCTGTGGTCAGTCTTACCAGTTTTAGAACGGCCTGACAGACAGACTCTAGAGTTCTCTCTGTGTTTCTCTGTCTCTCCCACTCCTTTTCTCTGTTCTCACGCTTCTCCAAAGCCCTCCCTCGCTCCATCTTCCTCTCCTCCTCCTGGCGTTCTTCCTTTTCCTCTTGGTCCTGAATGGTACGAGATAACGCAGAGATCCTGTGGAAGAAGAGAGAGAGAAGAGGAACAACCACGTCTACCTCTAGACAATCAGAAACAGGATTGATTAAGCTGATCATGTCTGAGGCAGAGACAAAGGATGAATCCCAAATGGCAGCCTGTTCCCTATGTAGTGCACAAAGGGAGAGCCCTCTGGTCAAAGGGAGAGCCCTCTGGTCAAAGGGAGAGCCCTCTGGTCAAAGGGAGAGCCCTCTGGTCAAAGGGAGAGCCCTCTGGTCAAAGGGAGAGCCCTCTGGTCAAAGGGAGAGCCCTCTGGTCAAAGGGAGAGCCCTCTGGTCACAAAGGGAGAGCCCTCTGCACAAAGGGAGAGCCCTCTGCACAAAGGGAGAGCCCTCTGCACAAAGGGGGAGAGCCCTATGGCAAAGGGAAGCCGCTCTGCAAAAAGGGGAGAGCCCTTTTGGTAAAAGGGAGACCCCCCCTCTGTCAAAGGGGAACCCCCTCTTTTTAAAAGGGGCCCCTCGGGCCCAAAGGGAGAGCCCTCTGGTCAAAGGGAGAGCCCTCTGGTCAAAGGGAGAGCCCTCTGGTCAAAGGGAGAGCCCTCTGGTCAAAGGGAGAGCCCTCTGGTAAAGGGGAAAAGGGGGCCCTTTTTGGGGAAAAAGGGATCCCCCTCTGGTAAAAGGGGAGAGCCCTCTTTAAAAGGGAGAGCCCTCGGTCAAAAGGAAAAAGCCCTCGGGTCAAAGGGAGGGGCCCTTTTGGAAAAGGGGGAAGCCTTTTGGTAAAAGGGGAACCCTCTGGTAAAAGGGAACCCCTTTCGGGTAAAAGGGGGAAGCCCTCTGGTAAAAGGGGAGAGCCCTCTCACAAAGGGAAAAGCCCCTGCAAAAAGGGGAAGCCCCTCCCAACAAAGGGAGACCCTCTGCCCCAACAGGGAGACCCCTCTGCCAAAGGGGGGAGCCCTCGGGGAAAAGGGGGAGACCCCCTCTCAAAAAGGGAGAGCCCCCTTGGTAAAAAGGGGAAGCCCCCCTGTCGGGGGAGAGCCCTCTGGAAAAAGGGGGAGAGCCCCCCGGTCGGGGGGGGAGACCCCTCTGGTAAAAAGGGAGCCCCTTTTGTCAAAGGGGAGAGCCCTCTGGTAAAAGGGGAAAGGGGCCCTCTGGCCCAAAGGGGAGCCCCCCTTTGGTAAAAGGGAGACCCTCGGGTAAAAGGGGAGAGCCCTTTTGGTAAAGGGGGAGACCCCCTCTGGTCAAAGGGAGAGCCCTTTTTGCCCCGGGGAGGGGACTATATAGGGAATAATTTGCCATTTGGGACCCAACCAAAAAATGGGGTATTTTCCCCGGGGAAAATTCAAAAAGGCGGGGCTGGAAAACCCTTTTTAGTCTGCCCTTTATTCAGAGGCAGGGCTCAGCTCATAGGGGTTTCTCGGGAGCTCTGTAGCCCCCTCCCCCCCTCCCTCTCCTCTCTCCCCCTCTCCTTCTCATCTCTCCCCTTCTCCCTCTCTCCTTCTCATCTCTCCCCTCCCCTCCCCTCCTCTCCCTTTTTGGTCGGGTTTCCCGGCCCTTTCAAGAGAGAGGGCCTGGGGTGGAGGAGAGGGGGGGGCCCGGGGGGGAGGGGGGGGGGTTTGGGGCAAGGCAGGGGCGGAACCCGGATGGGGGCTTTTTGGGTTAGGGTCACGGGCCCATAAAAGAAGAAAAACCCTAAAACCCCCATTGGGAGAGGAAGAGGAAAAAAGGGTAGAAAAACCTAAACCCTGACCCCCAAAAGGTCCCTGTGGGGGGGGATCAAAAACAACAATCATTCCCAAAACCGGGACTTATTCACAATACAAAGTACGTCCAAAATGGCACCCCAACCCCTATACATTGCACAAACTTTTGACCAGAGCACTAGGGTTTTTTTTAAAACCCAGGCCATGGGGCCTAGTCAAAAGTAGTGCACTTATATGGTTTGGGGTTGCCTTTTCAACAAAACCCGGGAAGATAGAGATTTTTAAATACGGGTTTTAAAATTTTTTTTCCCGGGCACCGTCAGGGTCAGTTTTCCCATATGTGCATTGTCGTCTCAGATTTATCCCCTCTCCCCCAGACGGCCTCGGGAAAACTCGGCCCCTGGTCAAAACTTTATTTGGTCTCGCTGGGGAAAAAAAAGGGAGAAAAAAAAGGGTTTAAAAAAAAAGCGAAAAAAAGCCCAAAAACGGGAAAAAGAAGAAAAGGGGAGAAAAGAGATAGAAAAAGAGGACTCAAGGAAAAAATAAACAAAGGCTGCTAGAGAGCCAAAGAGCCCCCTCCCCTTCCTCTCCCCCATCTCCTCGTCTTTTTCGTTCCCCTCTCCCTCTCTCTTCTCGCTCCTCTCTCCCCTTTTTCCCCCTTTTCCTTCTCTGGGCCCCTTCCCTCTCCTTCCCTCCCTCCCCCTTTTCCCCCCCCCCCTCCCCCCTCCCTGAAAAAAAGGGGATCCCCCAATTTACCCCCAAATTGAAAGACTAAATCTCCCCCTTTTTTTTCCAATCGGGCCATCATTCTCCCCCTCTTTCTCTTTCTTTTTTCCCACTCCCTGGGTTTTCCCTCAGCCCCGCCCTCCCCCCCACTTCTTTGGCCCAATCAGGGGGTCTTTTTTTGAAAGATCCCCCCCCCCTCATGCTTAAATTTTAAACCCCTGCCCGGGTTGGCTGGCGGGGCCAAAACAAGGAACTTTCATTCTGCCACCCCTACCCTCCTGCTCACAAACAAACCCCAAAAAGGGGAAATTTAAAAGTTTAAAACAATTTTTTCTAGGGGCCTTTATTCCGAAGGGGACCCCCAACTTTAGGGAAAACATTTAAAAAATATCAAATATTTACCCAAGGTAGGGGGGCGATAGTGAAACCCCCGGGGCCCCCTTTAAACCTTTTTTTTAAAAAAACTTAGTTAGTGCTGTATTCACATCTCCCCCCAAATAAAAAAGCTCTTTGTTTTTAAAATTTGGGTTCTGATAGTATTTTCCCCAGTTTCAGATTCAATATTGCTAAAATCATTTAATTGATCATTACGGGCAAACTTGTTGACCAGTAAACAAACGGGCCGGTTGATCAAAAAAAACAGGAGGGGGGAAAAATTCGGGTTTTAAAAACAATAAATTCTGTCTTATTTGGAAAGACTAATGGGCTACCGGGGTCAAAAAATAGGGGTTTTTTTGAGAACACTCAAACCCGCATTTTCCCCAACTTTTCCCAATTCTGACTCTTCTTTAATTTGTTTTTCAACCCCTATGAAAGTCAGGGCTTGTGCCCTCTGATGTGTCGTTTAATGTGTCCCACCCCCCTCTGCTGTTCTTTCCCCCCAAACCCCTGATGGGGGCGCTCTTAAGGAGCCCTGGGGCTATCCCTTTAATCCTCCCCCCTCCCCAAAAAACCCAAAAGAAGAAAGGAAAAGGGAGATCAGTTTCCTTTTCCCACCCCCCAAAACCCCCTTTTTTAAACCTTTCCCCGGGGGCCCCCCCCCCCTTTCCCCCTTTCTTTCCCCTTTTTTTTCCCCCCCCCCCTTTTTTCTTTAGGGTTTTTTTTAATTTAAAAATTTTTTGGCAAAAATCCTTTTTTTTTTATTGTTTTTTTAAAATCACATTTTAAAAAAATACATTTAGAAATGGGAGGGGTTTTTTACTTTGTGGTTTTGGTACCTGGGTGACACCAGCCTGGCCTCCCTCTCTCTGCCATCTCTCATCTTCCTTCTCCACTCGCTGTCCAGACGCAGAGACACACACAGGGATGGGTCCAGTGACTGGGACAGCTAACCAGAGGATAGAAAGAGACAGATATATGAGGCTAATAATATAATAATATAATAATAATAATATGCCATTTATATTATTATTATTATTTTGTATTTTGGTAAATGGATAAGAAAATAGTGCTGCCCCTGACAAAAAAAAAAAATATTGGTTGACCGAAAGTCGTCTGTTCTTTCGACCAATCGATTGGTTGACATTTTTAAACATGTGTTTTTCCATATATAGACACACCCTATGTGTTTTAATAAAATCAACTATATGCATTGAGCTGGTCGGATGCTTTAAGCTTACGGTTGGATGAAATAAGACAAATGCCTCAAGAGGGCGCCAGAGATCCGCTCCTGCTGGCTTTCTCAGATTCTGCCGTTACTCTCCTGAAGTTGTCGGTGATAGGCTACACGAGGAGTCGGCAACATTCTGATGTGGAATGCCAATTTATCTTACAATTTCTACCGAGCTGCGTGCCAGTTATGGTTTCCATATGCACATTGTCGTGAAACTGTTTCATTTAATTTATAATAACGTCTTTATATCTCTAAATCATTGTAATGTGGTGAATTAAAAATTCGATCCAAATCTAAATGAAAATGATACAAACCTAAAAAGTAACTTATATTGCCAACTATGTAAAAATAGCCTCCATAAAGCCAACAAATAAAAACATTGCAACCTGCAGGTAGAAAATATCCTGATAAAAACAAATATCCTATAAATCACATTGGCTACACATGGCCTGGATCAGAGCGTTACATTTTTTCCCTGTCACGCTGAGTGGTTATCGAAGGGGGAGAGATGGAAAGATGTTTCAGATACACTAAGGAACTATTGTCATTCTCAATCGATGTAAAAACAGACTTTGTTTGCTTGCTGTTTTTGAGGTGAAGAAAACATTACTTTGAGAAGCTCCACAGGTCATTAGTGGTGGTGCATTAAGCCAATCAGAAATACTATCAGATCCCCAAATGGGCACATTTATGCCTCCATTAGCACTAACCCTAACCCTCCATTAGCACTAACCCTAATCCTAACCCTCCATTAGCACTAACCCTAACCCTCCATTAGCACTAACCCTAACCCTAACCCTCCATTAGCACTAACCCTAACCCTAACCCCTAACCCTCCATTAGCACTAACCCTAACCCTAACCCTCCATTAGCACTAACCCTAACCCTAACCCTCCATTAGCACTAACCCTAACCCTAACCCTCCATTAGCACTAACCCTAACCCTAACCCCTAACCCTCCATTAGCACTAACCCTAACCCTCCATTAGCACTAACCCTAACCCTAACCCCTAACCCTCCATTAGCACTAACCCTAACCCTCCATTAGCACTAACCCTAACCCTCCATTAGCACTAACCCTAACCCCTAACCCTCCATTAGCACTAACCCTAACCCTCCATTAGCACTAACCCTAACCCTAACCCTCCATTAGCACTAACCCTAACCCTAACCCTCCATTTGCGTTCAGGCCAGGTAGCCTATAGGACTACTTCTATGCGTCTTTACTCAACATTGACAGGAGCTCCAAACAAAAGACAATGTCTAAATTGACAGAACTCATAAATGTAATGAAATAAACCAAAACTTGTTTCTCACAAGTGTAGTAGGTTGTGTACTCTGCAAACAATGTGTCCACTCAGACAATGATAACAGGAAGACTGGAATAACAATATTGAATGCATTAACAGAAATGACCGTAACCAAAGTAACAAACATTACAGATTAGAAATTATAGGAATTAACGGTAAATGCACTACTGGTGATATATGTAATGGGGAATTGATAGACACTAACAATCAAACGCAAACAATTCAAACAATGAAAGTTATGAAACAATGAATGTGCACAAATTGGCGGGAAAAAAGAGTGCATTCTGGAGAGAGAAGTTCAATGTGCATCTGGGCGCATGGTCAATACGGCCTCAGTAGAAGGGCATTCATACTTCTCACGCTTCGCAGAGCAGTGCAGAGCTGTTGTCAAGGAAGTGAGTTTGTGTTTTCTATATATCGCCCCCACCTACCGTCAACCAATCGTGTCACTGCGGAGCTATGCAGAGCCCTCCGCATTATTACGACATCTGGGAGACGCCATGGCGATGCAGAACGGAGCTATGCAGAGCCCTCCGCATTATTACGACATCTGGGAGACGCCATGGCGATGCAGAACGGAGCTATGCAGAGCCCTCCGCATTATTACGACATCTGGGAGACGCCATGGCGATGCAGAACGGAGCTATGCAGAGCCCTCCGCATTATTACGACATCTGGGAGACGCCATGGCGATGCAGAACGGAGCTATGCAGAGCCCTCCGCATTATTACAACATCTGGGAGACGCCATGGCGATGCAATACAGAGCTTCTGGAGGCTCCGCAATTGAGTCACACCTTCCATATGGAGCCTCAGACATTGGCTTTTAGTCTAGGCCTCCGCAATGGATTAGTTCACTGAGATGGGCGCAAATATATATATTTGTTACTGCTCGACTAAAACAATATGGGTCGACCAACAGCCTAACGACCAAACAATCGACCAGACCACTAAATGGGGTCAGCCCTACAAGAAAGCCTTGACTCCAGCAATTGTAGGTTTCTCCAGAAGACCAGAACTCAACCCGTTCTCGAACAAAAATACAGTGTTGAGGTCTGGTCCCGCAAGAATAGTTGAAATGTAACTTGGGGGGGGGGGGGCGATGATTCACCTCCCTGAGTGGGTGGGGGGGATTACCCTGTCTGTGAGGGCCTGGGGGGGTGGGGACTCACCCGGTCTGTGAGGGCCTGGGCACGGGACTCCAGTTCCTCCCTCTCAGCGTGACTCTCAGCCAGCTCATTCTGCAGCCGAGACACCTCTGCCCTCAGCTCCGCCCTCTCCTCCTTCCAGCCATCCAACAGCGCTGACTCCATCCTGGTCCTGGGCACTCAGGAAGCTGGGGAGGAATTACAAGGGAAACCCATAGGGTGAAACAAGTTCCTCATAGGGCGAGTCCCACCCCCTCACATCACTTAGGATCCATCATGGTCCACACACACCAACACAGTCAGGCTAGTGGTACCGATGCAACACGTCTGGAACCAACAGGATCCTGAACAGCTTCTACCCCCAAGCCATTACACTGATAAATAGTTAGTCAAATAGTTAACCAAATAGCTACCCGGACTATCTGCATTGACCCTTTTTGCACAAACTTCTTTGACTCATCACATACACTGCTGCTGTTTACTATCTGTCACTTTATTCCTAGTTATATGTACATATCTACCTCAATTACCTCGTACCCCTGCACATCGTCTCGGTACTGGTACCCTGTGTATATAGCCAAGTTATTACCTCGTACCCCTGCACATCGTCTCGGTACTGGTACCCTGTGTATATAGCCAAGTTATTACCTCGTACCCCTGCACATCGTCTCGGTACTGGTACCCTGTGTATATAGCCTAGTTATTACCTCGTACCCCTGCACATCGTCTCGGTACTGGTACCCTGTGTATATAGCCAAGTTATTACCTCGTACCCCTGCACATCGTCTCGGTACTGGTACCCTGTGTATATAGCCAAGTTATTACCTCGTACCCCTACACATCGTCTCGGTACTGGTACCCTGTGTATATAGCCTAGTTATTACCTCGTACCCCTGCACATCGTCTCGGTACTGGTACCCTGTGTATATAGCCTAGTTATTACCTCGTACCCCTGCACATCGTCTCGGTACTGGTACCCTGTGTATATAGCCAAGTTATTACCTCGTACCCCTGCACATCGTCTCGGTACTGGTACCTGTGTATATAGCCAAGTTATTACCTCGTACCCCTACACATCGTCTCGGTACTGGTACCCGGTGTATATAGCCTAGTTATTACCTCGTAACCCCTGCAACATCGTCTCGGTACTGGTACCCTGTGTATATAGCCTAGTTATTACCTCGTACCCCTACACATCGTCTCGGTACTGGTACCCTGTGTATATAGCCTAGTTATTACCTCGTACCCCTGCACATCGTCTCGGTACTGGTACCCTGTGTATATAGCCTAGTTATTACCTCGTACCCCTGCACATCGTCTCGGTACTGGTACCCTGTGTATATAGCCAAGTTATTACCGCGTACCCCTACACATCGTCTCGGTACTGGTACCCTGTGTAATATAGCCAAGTTATTACCTCGTACCCTGCAACATCGTCTCGGTACTGGTACCCTGTGTATATAGCCTAGTTATTACCTCGTACCCCTGCACATCGTCTCGGTACTGGTATCCTGTGTATAATAGCCAAGTTTATTACCTCGTACCCCGGCACATCGTCTCGGTACTGGTATCCTGTGTATATAGCCAAGTTATTACCTCGTACCCCTGCACATCGTCTCGGTACTGGTACCCTGTGTATATAGCCAAGTTATTACCTCGTACCCCTGCACATCGTCTCGGTACTGGTACCCTGTGTATATAGCCTAGTTATTACCTCGTACCCCTACACATCGTCTCGGTACTGGTACCCTGTGTATATAGCCAAGTTATTACCTCGTACCCCTACACATCGTCTCGGTACTGGTACCCTGTGTATATAGCCAAGTTATTACCTCGTACCCCTGCACATCGTCTCGGTACTGGTACCCTGTGTATATAGCCTAGTTATTACCTCGTACCCCTGCACATCGTCTCGGTACTGGTACCCTATGTATATAGCCAAGTTATTACCTCGTACCCCTGCACATCGTCTCGGTACTGGTACCCTGTGTATATAGCCAAGTTATTACCTCGTACCCCTGCACATCGTCTCGGTACTGGTACCCTATGTATATAGCCAAGTTATTACCTCGTACCCTGCACATCGTCTCGGTACTGGTACCCTGTGTAATAGCCTAGTTATTACCTCGTACCCCTGCACATCGTCTCGGTACTGGTACCCTGGTGTATATAGCCAAGTTATTACCTCGTACCCCTGCACATCGTCTCGGTACTGGTACCCTGTGTATATAGCCAAGTTATTACCTCGTACCCCTACACATCGTCTCGGTACTGGCACCCTGTGTATATAGCCTAGTTATTACCTCGTACCCCTGCACATCGTCTCGGTACTGGTACCCTGTGTATATAGCCTAGTTATTACCTCGTACCCCTACACATCGTCTCGGTACTGGTACCCTGTGTATATAGCCTAGTTATTACCTCGTACCCCTGCACATCGTCTCGGTACTGGTACCCTGTGTATATAGCCTAGTTATTACCTCGTACCCCTGCACATCGTCTCGGTACTGGTACCCTGTGTATATAGCCAAGTTATTACCTCGTACCCCTACACATCGTCTCGGTACTGGTACCCTGTGTATATAGCCAAGTTATTACCTCGTACCCCTGCACATCGTCTCGGTACTGGTACCCTGTGTATATAGCCTAGTTATTACCTCGTACCCCTGCACATCGTCTCGGTACTGGTATCCTGTGTATATAGCCAAGTTATTACCTCGTACCCCTGCACATCGTCTCGGTACTGGTATCCTGTGTATATAGCCAAGTTATTACCTCGTACCCCTGCACATCGTCTCGGTACTGGTACCCTGTGTATATAGCCAAGTTATTACCTCGTACCCCTGCACATCGTCTCGGTACTGGTACCCTGTGTATATAGCCTAGTTATTACCTCGTACCCCTGCACATCGTCTCGGTACTGGTACCTGTGTATATAGCCTAGTTATTACCTCGTACCCCTACACATCGTCTCGGTACTGGTACCCTGTGTATATAGCCAAGTTATTACCTCGTACCCCTACACATCGTCTCGGTACTGGTACCCTGTGTATTATAGCCTAGTTATTACCTCGTACCCTACACATCGTCTCGGTACTGGTACCTGTGTAATATAGCCTAGTTATTACCTGTACCCCTGCACATCGTCTCGGTACTGGTACCCTGTGTATATAGCCTAGTATACCTCGTACACCTGCACATCGTCTCGGTACTGGTACCCTGTGTATATAGCCAAGTTATTACCTCGTACCCCTGCACATCGTCTCGGTACTGGTACCCTGTGTATATAGCCAAGTTATTACCTCGTACCCCTGCACATCGTCTCGGTACTGGTATCCTGTGTATATAGCCAGTTATTACCTCGTTACCCCTGCACATCATCTCGGTACTGGTACCCTGTGTATATAGCCTAGTTATTACCTCGTACCCCTACACATCGTCTCGGTACTGGTACCCTGTATATATAGCCAAGTTATTACCTCGTACCCCTACACATCGTCTCGGTACTGGTACCCTGTGTATATAGCCAAGTTATTACCTCGTACCCCTGCACATCGTCTCGGTACTGGTACCCTGTGTATATAGCCTAGTTATACCTCGTACCCCTACACATCGTCTCGGTACTGGTACCCTGTGTATATAGCCAAGTTATTACCTCGTACCCCTGCACATCGTCTCGGTACTGGTACCTGTGTATATAGCCAAGTTTATTACCCCGTTACCCCTACACATCGTCTCGGATGGTACCCTGTGTATAGAGCCTAGTTATTACCTCGTACCCCTATACATCGTCTCGGTACTGGTACCCTGTATATATAGCCAAGTTATACCTCGTACCCCTGCACATCGTATCGGTACTGGTACCCTGTGTATATAGCCTAGTTATTACCTCATACCCCTACACATAGTCTCGGTAATGGTTACCTGTGTATTATATAGCCAAGTTATACCTCAGTACCCCTGCACATCGTCTCGGTAATGGTACCCTGGTTATATAAGCCAAGTTATTACCTCGTACCCCTGCACATCGTCTCGGTATGGTACCCCTGTGTATATAGCCAAGTTATTACCTCGTACCCTGCACATCGTCTCGGTACTGGTACCACTGTGTATATAGCCAAGTTATTACTCGTACCCCTACACACGTCTCGGTACTGGTACCCCGTGTATATAGCCATAGTTATTACCTCGTACCCCTACACATCGTCTCGGGGACTGGTACCCCGTTAATAGCCAAGTTATTACCCCGTACCCCGCACATCGTCTCGGTTTCTGGTACCCTGTGTATTTTAGCCAAATTATTACCTCGTACCCCTCACATCGTCTCGGGGGAATGGTACCCTGTTATATAGCCAGTTATTACCTGTTTCCCCCACACATGTATCGGTACTGGTACCCTGTGTATATAGCCAAATTATTACCTCGTACCCTCACATCGTCTCGGTACTGGACCCTGTGTATATAGCCAAGTTTTTACCTCGTACCCCTACACGTCTCGGGACTGGTACCTGTGTATATAGCCAAGTTATTTACCTGTTTTTTCCCTGACATAGTCTCTATTCTGTTTTATTTAGCCCTAAGAAATTCCAGTACCCCCACTGTTGTTGACCGTGAATAACCTTTTTTTATTACCCGAACCTACAACATCGTTTTCTTCCCGGTCCCCTGTGTTTCCGTTCTTCTCTGTGTTTATTCCTGTTTTTTCTATTAAATTTGTTTTCTTTTTTCTTTTTGTGGCCCGGCCCCGTGTTCTGGGTTTCTTCCTGTGTTTACGGTGCATCTTGTGTTATTTCGTGTTCCAGTCTCTGTGTTCTTTCTCTGTGTTCTTTCTCTGTGTTTCTTCTCGGTGTTTTATTTCGTGTTTATTTCTTTTTTCTCTTTTCTTTCTCTGGGTTTTGGTAAATTTTGTTTCTTTTTAAATGTTTTAAACTTTGCATTTTTTTGATTTTTTCTGGGGGAATAACCTTACTGGGATTACACCTTGGGGGTTACAGGCTTGGGCGAATACCAAGGGGGGGATTATTTAGGGCTGGGCGATATCCCCTTTGGGCTGGCGATATCCCCTTTGGGCTGGGCGAATACCTTAGGGCTGGGCGATATACCTTAGGGCGGGCGATATCCTTAGGGCTGGGGGGATATACCTTAGGGCGGGCGATATCCCCTTT